TGTATTAATTATCTATACTCAGTAAGTCTGCGCTTATAAATTCATTTAGTTTCTTGCTATATGCTGCGCCAATTCCAAATGATTTCATCTTTTCGAATGGAGATAAATTAGTTCGCATTCAGACAAAAAAAAACGTATTATATTTCAAATCTCTCAGTTCGTTGTTTAATATCTATTTCCATCTGGTAAACTATGGTTCGAATATTTTGAAATACTCTTACTCAACTGCGATCGAAAAGTTTACAAGAGCCAATGAATAAGATTATGAAATAGTTTGAGTATTTCCCTTTCATGAAAATTGGCATCAAAGAGCTAAGTAGAAGACAATTAAAAACAAACTGAAGAAAGAAAATCTGTCGAAAAAGAATAAAACTCAGTTCCAGAATGCCGAATTCTTCGTTAGAATATGATTCAACCAGCAAACTCCTATACTGTTTGCGTTCCTTACTTCCGTATGATCATAACCAAAAACATTCCAACTAGATTGCATTTAAAATGATACGAAAATGGAATGAAATTGTATCAGATTGCAAAATCGAGGGTATATTTTCGCTTGGATCAGATGATGAAAGATTCTTCACGACATATTATAACAAGTTATTATTTAAAGATGTTTGCACTGCATTATGGCTCACGATCATAAAAGAGATTACGATGAGCGTTGTTATTCAAAAGATGGAAGAGTACGATTGATAAAGCTGAATGTACCATGTTTATATGAATGACGAAATTACCTATCTCAACAAACATTAAATGAACTTTTTATGCAGTAAGGAAGTTTAGATTCATTCATCTGGATAAGAGAGAATATTTAGAACGGTCTTGGTTAGAAGTCATCGAACGCGGCACTGAACATCATAAACACGGACAAAATCCCATATCATCCTTTTAAAAGTAAGCATAACGACGCACTTCGAATTCATTCTAATGAAGTTGTAGTGTGCAAGTCTTCGAGGTTTATGCTTCCCAAATGAGTGATCTTATCTCAAATATATCTGAATAATGCGCTGTAAGATTTATGGTTTGAATTAAACTTGAAATGCACATTTCGAATGCCATTGAACGCCCGAAATAAAAACACTTTTGATACATTCACTGTGAAATATTCACAGCGGATGCAATCGCGCAGTACTAGTCGGTGTTCAGTTAGTTTATGAACGAAATGAAGATGGATAGTGCTGAAGAAAATAGCGAAACGAAATAAATCATTGCGACAACAGATTCAATGAAGCATTTTAGATCATTCCACAGTGTTGCTGAACTAATAACTGCATATTCATTTGTCAACAGCGAAAACGATTCTTAATGAAAAAATAGAAATAACAAAGAGATTCGGTGTGAAATTTATTCGAGCTTCAAACTGTAAACCGTGTAGTGCATTATCGATATCAATTTGATGTGAATACATTCTCTACGAACTCACTTTTTGCCTGCAAATTAACGTAAGCCGATGAAAAATGGTGAAATTTGTTAGAAAATATGATCGATTCGGCATTTTGAAAGCTGCATTTTAAAAGAATAAAATTTTTGCACAAGAAATGACGTCGGCTGAAACAAAGCATTCATCGATAGGTGTGAATTCAGTAGAAATCTTCTAAATATCTCACCATTCATTCAATCGACCTTACGAAAAGAATTGTGACCAACAATTGAAATGTTATTACTCGCTCATTTACAGTCATATAGAACAAAAGTTATCATCAGTCATTTGTTGGTTGTATATTAAAATAGGGTGATAACTAAAGCGACACCATTATTCATTCGTTTATGGACATATTCAAGCGTCAGTGCATGCATTTGTAGACACATTCGGTAGAGCGTAGTAATTAAGCATTGGATTGTGATATTAAATTGAAATGATCAATGAGTGAAATAAATGATGAAGTAGAAATGAAAACGTATCCATTCGATGTGATGACATACATACCTTGGCTCGCATTTCTAAATCATGTAGGCATTTGGCTTGACAACGAGCATTCAGCAGTTCGTCGGGATAGGCGAAGTGGTTTATGAGGATCGTAATTATCATCAATGCACAAGACAATAACATCACTTTAGCAGTTCAATTCACTCCACTGCATATGGTCAGCTGCTAAAAAGTTGGTTTATTTCAGTAAATTTCTTTGTTGATTATACGAACGAAAATTCGAAAGAATCTCTATGTATCCACTTCATATGCAACAAAAAGAGCAATTTTATCAGCGCAAAATGAACGAAAACTTGTAAATTTCATAACGACTTAAACAGTGGTTTATGTCTTCAATTGATTAATTTATGAACGACTTTTGAGCACTTCGCAAAAATTCATCAGTACAGAATTGAGCAACTGAAAATGCAAGTAATAGAATAAACGTCCACCATGCAACGTAAAGAACATCAACACAAGATCAGCATCAAATAACAAATTGAATGATGTAAACTGAATAATTACACAACAATGACCGTAAAAAGTATTTTGAAACAAATTTAGTAAGGCGAGTGAATTAATTCAAGACGGATTTTATCAATAGATCTCACGAAAGATTCAATACAACCGTCTTCTTTCATTTGAGTGACGTTGAAAGAGTTCAGAGGGCGGTTCAATAGTACGTGAAACGAGGAATTGGCGCCGCCTATTCATAGAATAGGACCTCAAATAAGTGAATTGTCATAGTGGCTTCACTCACGTTATCGATGCAACCTTAATTGCGGTCGTAAATAATTACTCTCGAATGGAATTTGCTTTGAACGTTTTCGTTTAGAGGATTCGTCAATCAACATCAAATCGTTATACTTTTTCTTCACTCATCACCATTCATCTTTATTGGTGATGAATTTGGAATTGATATACACATTTATGTTTCGAATTACATTTCAAATCCAGATTCCCTATCAACACAGTTCAAAGCCTTAATCACATTGAAAATTTGATATTACGATAAGATGAATGCGTGCTGTCTAGGTGATGGATATTAGTCGAATGATTGGCAGTAAACAGATAATGTATGACATATGTGCATGAATACTGGAACGAGCATTGACCAATAAGAAGGTGAAGAATACACGTTAAATGAGTCTTTCCCAAGAGAACATAACATCCATTTGTTGAGATTGATTTGCTGATATAATAATTGCCTCACTAGGGAGTACATAATATCATATCTTATCTATAAACTATCTGACCAATTATTTATTCATATTATTAAAACTTTATTAGGTGTACTAATATCCACCTTAGCCAATTCCACTTATGATAGATTTGTACCTCTCTTCAAACAGTCGCTTTCAGTGAATGTGAATCGATTCGAAATCACTAACATCTTCTCGTTATGACTACTGTCCAGTCTGATTAATATAAGCTCAAGTTTTCTGATAAAAGTTTCAATCAAATATTACGAAAAACCAGATATCATATCAGTTTGCATTCATATTACTTGCTGTTAGTGAACAGATACTAGCAATTAGGAGGTTGTTTGGGAAGGCATAAAAACTTTATCGTTTAAAGATGGTGACCAGGGTTGAAAACCGTTCATAATGCGCAGATAAACAATGGATTACTGACGATCACCAATGTTTCCTCTAAAGATTTTCTCACTGCTACAGTACCCATGATGCCTGCCTGGGTCAGTAGTTCTAATGGCAATCTACTTGAGCACATTTGTTCATATGTCGGTACTGCAAAAGCACATTTGCACTGCAAAAGTTCTTGGAAGTATTGTGTCGTTAACTAATCCGTCACCAAATACGATGAAAATAACTTATATGCAGCATTCAATATTGAATATTCATCAATTATTCAACAAGAACAAGAAATAGTATCAGAAATAATATCAGTAAGAGATAAACTGTCAAAAATTTTATTCGTCATTATACTCAACATCAAATAAATACGAGATCATCATACAACTGTATACACATCAATATTCATTCCAATGGCATTATTAGCTCCTGTATCCGTTTCATTTGGCGGAATATAAACGCTTTTGCTCATCAGCCCATCACTATCATTTAATATCGATGCGTCTCTTTAATTCGTTAAAAACATCTTGCATATGCACTAAAAACTTCCACTACCTAAAAATAATATTCGGCACCCAATACTTGATATAGATGAAAACATTTCACAAAATTTTCAGCGAATTTATAACAAAATCATGAGCTCAATAAGCCAATTGGAATTAATAAAACATGAACAAACAATGTAAACAAACCACTATCAAGAAGTAAAGATGAGAAATAGAACAACTCGAGATAAACATTTGGAGAGGTGAATATGTGAAGGGAAGAAATAAATGACAACTAAAATAATTCTACACTGTAATCTCAAACGATAGGAGCGAAGACAACTGCAAGTTGCTCTCCAAAACCGCTGAATGGGGATAACCATGATCCTACTCATAAGAATCGCATGATAATTACAGTAATCGACAACTCCATCCTATTTAAACACCACCGCGTTGATGACATTATTGAAGGGAATCAGCTACGAAAGATTTGATAAACGACGACTATTTGTCTAGATGTGATCGAACGAAAATGAGCGGTATCTAATGACGTAAAACAAATTGTGAAAGAATGACAGAAAATAAGATCGATTAATCAGTTCATAACCACCTAACTGGTGAGTGCGATTATCCTCATTCATTCTTTCTGAACTGATAAAACACGACTAACAAACTATACAGATGGTCACATAAGAGCTACAAAACCAACTCAGTCATATACATTAATAACAAATCGGGAAACTTCGGGCATGAACTCGAAATCACGCATTGTTCCTAAAATAATCGATTTTAAACGAACATTTTACATAAAATAATTCAAAAAATGTGTGACGTAAAGCAAGTGAGCAATCTAATCCAATCTTACACACAACAACTGAAACAATCAACGGTATACAAATGCAAATTTTTTACAAGTAAATTATTTCAAAATAATTTTCAGGTGACAATTAAATATACAAGAATATTTCAGTAATGTAGGCGGCACAGCTAGAAGTGCGATGAAACAATAGAATAATGTTAAACGTTATTGCGTAACCATTCAGTAACATAACTAAGTGCTCTAGACGCAGTTATCATCGTTGAATGAAAATTGAATAAGCCATGAAAACCAGTTTCTAAGTGTTTCCACGTAGTTGGTACGCCAGCTTGTGATAAGCGTTTTGCATAAATAACACCTTCATCACGTAAGATATCATGCTGACATGTAACCACTAGTGCTTGAGGCAATGAACTGAGGTTAGATTGTATTAACGGCATGAAATCTGGGTTAAATATGAATGGAGATAAGAGATGTGATGCTTCTTCATTGAATGAAAAACTTGAGAAGTTATAGCTGGTCCTGAAATATCAACATTTCTATTATCATTTGAAAATGCGGAGTATAATATTACAAAATAGTGAACTAAACATGCAGTGATGTACAATATAAATGAAAAATAAATAAATGGAACATCATGATCATGAAAAGTTATTATTAGGAATATCATCGTATCAAATGAGCACTTACTTGAAAGAATGTGGTAGTTGATCAATATCAACAAATCTGTCAACAATTTTTCTATCCAGTGATGATAGATGTGCGTTTTGAAGAGTGGAATGAATCAATTCCGACTCATGTCTGAGATCAATTCCAGTATATGCTAAATAATAAAGTGCAACTGCACGTGGTTCCAAGAATCCGCGGCCTCGCAAGACATGATGATAATGTTGATAAGACGGAGTACGCATATTACCCATTTGAAGTAATGGGTAGAGCAGTACTTGAGCCTTAAACAAACAAAAACAATCGAACAGTTATTGAATGTGATTGATGTAAACTGAATGTATACTTTAAGCGGATGCACATCGTTCCTCTCCCGAAGTCGTTGAGTGAGTGATGCAACGAGACCACCTCCGGCAGAATCACCCATAATCGCTACACGTGAACGATCAATACCGAACACTTTATAAGCATGTTTCAATAAATACACCACTGCATTCTCAACGTCATCAAGGGCCGATGGAAAAGCATACTCCGGTGCTAGACGATAATCTATTGATACCACTACCTGCATGTTCAAATGTCATAATTAAAAACAAACTTCTCAACTTAATCATTATTCTATCCATAAACATCCTTCCACCATGCTAAATAATGTGCCTCTTCATTAACAGCATGCATTTCGTTCTATTTATTCTGCTCTATTACTCAACGATCCTAACATTAACTATGAATCGCAACAAGGTTGGGCAGGGGGGAGCGAAATCAGGATCGAGGGTGCCTAAGGTCGGGGCCATTGCGGGCAAGGGGTAGGGGTAGGGCCCTCGAGACCTCATAAGTGCTCGGGGTCTTCCAATTTCTGGAAGTTCTCGACTGAACCCTAATTCACATCGTACGACACTGCTCTAAATCAATGTGTAATTGAAAAAAACGAACAGTATTCGCATCGATAGCTAAACGTTTAGCAAGAGAATCAAATGCCTCAATATTGCCCATCACAAATCCACCGCCATGAACGTATAACACTGCTGATAATTGAATATTGTTTGTTTTTGGTCGATAGATACGAGCACGTATCGAATTGAAATATTCCGTTTTAATAGTTAATTGTGCATCATCAAAGATTGTTAACGAACTGATTAACCACGACGATGAATCAATCACCCAACGAGACCAACCTACTTCACAATACACATCATCACCACAAAATATTCTTGTCTGAAAGCTACGCATCAATTCATTGAATTACGCTCGTTTTCAAGATATAGACACATTCATGATGAACTGATTTCTCATCATCTTCCGTCATTTAGTTAAAATTATTGCAGAATACTTCCATCAAGTGAAAGAAAACAACCTTACCGGATAAATGACGCTTAACCGCAAGAAAAGTTCGATAACATGGAAAACAGTTTTATCGTATGGATTATCAGTGAAATCAATTGGTAAAGGACGATAGATAGTGTAAGCGTAGATAAGCACCATTAATGAGAAAATGCTCCATTCTATTTTGTATTTCATTTTTGTTTTACAAGTATTCAGTTGTCAAGACTGTTGTCAGTTGTTAAGCACTGAAACAATCAACTCTCATCATATTTTGTAATTAACCCAAACATTTTTCAAATCATTTCATCCACTTTTCATCATCCATTCCTTAACGAGAATTCACAATGAAATCAACTAGCTCGACAAAATGTTTGACAATTAAATTATCGCTTATCGAGTGCGCAAAACTAAACCACACTGTATGCCACTGACTTATTCGCAATGAATGCCACACACTAACACTATGTTTATGGCCGAATGGCAAAATTTATGAGATCAGATTTTTACGTGAAAGAACAGAAGGCAGGCAGGCACTTGTGTGGATCCTTTATTAATGAGCATGTGATTAAAGGCTCAAATAAGGATGCCATCATACCAATTGCACTTGGATGAACTCTCCCTTCCGAGTATACAATCTCAATTTATTTACTGAATCATTCGTCGTAATATTACATAACAAAATGTTTTTGAGATGATTCGATATCCGCGTAACATTTCTCAAACCACGCCATTGCATATTGCCTGTCGCATGCAAGCGAATTAATAATCCATTCAATAGTATTCATTGGTGTGATTGTTTGTCTTTCTTATCTCAATTGCATGAAATAGTACTCGATAATATAATTGTTTGCTTCATTCATATAAAAAACAATTGACTTCTTTTTACACCATCCGTTTCCAATTCATAGCAATGTTTGCGTATCCCAACATAATGTCTTTGTTGTACAGCGATTTTACGTGCGTATCTGGCGCAATAAGCTATCTATCCTTTCCGAACTTTCCATATTATTGTAATTGATATCAACCCGGAGAAATGGATAAATCCCACTCTTCTCTTCGGGTTCATCTTATAATCAGTATGACAATAATTACCCCTAAGCATCGGCTGTGGTCTTCCTCTGATTTTGAACTGAACCCTACGTCAACCAAATCGCTCTTCCAACGCTCCGTTGTGTATGATCAATTTATTCTATTTTCCTCAATAAACCAAATCGGTCCAATCAATCACTCTATTCGATATGGAGCGTTACCGATACTATCCCGAAAAACTCCACACCGATTTCCAAACAAACTCAATTTGTAACAAGCTTACCAGATCCGACCGTGCAACAGTCAGATGTCGAAGAGGAAGAACCTGACAGTCACAGTACAATCACCTCAGAACCAACTTCCAACGAAAGCACATCCCGTCTGAATATCACTAACCCCATCTTAACTCAACTCTTTAATCATCATAGAACAATCCTCACCATCGTATCCCTCATGATGTTCACAGTACCAGCGCAATCAACTTTCAGCGCACAACTTTGCCCTTACAAACGTGCGGAATATTCATGCGTCTGCGTCCTCCAACAAATTGTACTTCTCACATACTAGAAAATTGGAGTGTCACCTTCATAATATGCTTCTTGGCAAACAAACACAACTCGAAGGCTGATTGTGAGTGGGATAAAGACGTAACGAAGATGAGTTGCGCATGAATAATACAGTAGTAAAGGTGGCTTGTTAACAACTGACAATCAGTTATTATTCGTCATCGCATAATCGTGGTCACTGATGTGAATCAGCGGTAAAAATGTGAAATTTTATAGCGAAATATGCATGGAAATAATCACAAAATGGTTGAATAGATCAACGTGAACAGTCGATAGCTGACTGTGATCATATCTTGTCTTTGGCGATTGGTTTTGGTGGCGGAATCGAGAACTTCTTCTCAACCTGAAATTCATCAACGAAGTGCACTGAAACGAAAATACTTCATCAATAATACAGTATGTGCAATGAGTCACTCACAAAAAAGTGAATGCAGACACAATGGCAGTTCACTCTACGTAAACGCTTTTCTTTGAGAAATCGAAGAATTCCCTCAAGTGCTTTTCATCGAGGGGTGGAGAAAATTATCGTTTTTTTTTTCAAATTAAAAATTTCGGGAAAAAAGCTGCAGTGTTTTAAAGTTTGAAATCCGTTTCACAAAATTTTGATCATTCAAAAATCAATGAAGAATATTTGGCCCAAATGATAAATCCCATAATGAACATTCCGCATTTTCTCCATACAAGCGATGTGAATATTAAACATCAGCATTATTTGTGGCTTTTATCACTCTGTCGTCATAATAACGATGAAACAAAGAATTTGTTGTTATTAACAACAAAGAACGATAAAGTAATTCAGTTTCTTCGCGAGCGCACGACAACAAATTGCGACAAATTTTTTTGAATGCTCTTTTGATAAACAATTCTTTGTTTTCAATACTTTCACAACAGAAGTATCTCAACCATGATCAGTAGTTTATCACCATATTTTATGTATTTCACACGTCAAATTCAGTTTGACTGGCGAACTGCTTTGCATATCTGAAGTGAACAGGGAAATGTTATCACAATGAATCAACCGTCATTCAAACTGGAATTTAATGTGAATTTGTGGTACTCTAAAATTTCTGAAATAAAGCAACTCTGAAATGCATTCCTCTCATATCTGATCAACGTCAATGTATTATTGTTATTTTTATCATCATGTCGCGTTATATTTTATAAATACTTGAGTTACTGTATGCGTTTAACTTATCAACAGTCACCAATGATTCCCTTACCATTGGAGAATATTTGTTGTTAGCAAAATTCAAGTCGGGAATGGTGGTCAATTATTTTGGTAGACATCTGGAGGAAAATGGATAAAGTGCGTTTTCTGTTAACAGTGTTCGTCGGACTATGAAGACCTCGATAGGAAGTTATTTTTTCTCCTTGATGTCTATTTGCCGAAGTTATCCCCTGACAGGGTTTATTTCCAGACAAAGATTTGCTAGAACACTATTTTTGTATTTGTCGCAACAAAGTGAAAGAGCTTCAATTTATTGTCATCATTAAAGACAACGACTGCCTATAACTTATTTGTGATTGCAGCACGACAAAATGTTTAAGAGTCACTTTCTAAACAGTCCGTGAGCTCACCCTTGCTGTTCCACTCTCCAAGTCATACGTGCCTCAGCTTACTATTCAAGTGGTAATGCTGATAGTTGCAAAACATAATTTAATGCAGCTGACTGTTGACAAAAGGTATAAATAAACACAAAATCGCTCATTCAACTAAGCCGGTTTCAACGTTGAAAGGCAAAGGTGAATAAATAAAGATAATAATACGGTTATTAATGAAATCAGTAATAATAACAGATACAAAACCAGTGCTACGAGAAAGTATCTTTTGTCTGATTAACTATCAAACTTACCAATCTGGCCAATGACTGCAATGTGACGCAAACTGAGAAAAAATCACGTGATTCGAAAAGATCGACAGATTGAAAAGTTTCTTCATCTTTAACACCCATCTCGCGTACGCTCGTACAAAATTGATTAATATTTTCCATGCAGTTAAAATTGCTCATTGGTTTCATGATTTTTTTAACGGTACCGGGTTGAATTGCGTTTAACAATCTTAAAATAGTAATTACCTTTTATTCTAATCAAAACATTCCACCTCAGCAGGACAACACCGACGAAAACAACTGATGCAGACATTAGACTAAAGTTCTTAACTATGAAACAGCAACTACGAATGATGGTTCAATATCAATCTTATTTCGGTATTGAATCAATTATTCTCTGGTAATTTGAAAATATCAAAGTTGCACTCTTTAATTATTCATATAAACCTGCACAGAAGCTGTCCATCTTTAAGTCTTTCACTGAAGTTTTCTCGGGAACCACTCGTATTGAAGTCCTCTTTTGTTATCGTTGCAATCCACTCCAATAAATTCGACGCCTCATCTTCGTTAAATTTCGAAAGTTGCTGTAAAAAGTATAATTTTCATTCCATGTTTCCGAACAATAAATCGGCAACAAACTGTACTACTGCAAAACAATCCAAATTTTGAGAAGTCAGGTGTTTATGTGTACTTATATGAATAAATGTATACACTATAGATATATAGGGATAAGATAACATACCTTATCTCGAATGGCACCAGCCATACCGGCAGGGCGAGGTCGGCTGCTCATTTCAGAAACAAAATGTGAATGCGGTACACGGATGTGATGATGAGTCTTTTATAAGCGTATGGATGAATAAATTTTTTGGTTAGAGAATGTAGGCACAGAATAGCTGAATGATTGACTGAACAAGCAGATGTGTGTTTATTTTGAATATCATTTTATTGCTGCCTTGAGTTAGCTGAACTCCACCCATCAACAGTCTTACTGTACGTGTTTTATCAAACAACTGGTTTACTATTGTAGCTGTATTTGCATATGCCCTCGAAGAATATTAATTACTGAAAGTATGCGTATTATGATGAAATGAAGAGTGTGTAGTATTACATGCCGTTTGTTGTGATGATACGAACAGAATTAATTGTATGATGAAATGTTTTATTTCGTCCACAAACAACAGTAACGAGCACCAAGCAAAAGAGAGCATTTGAACTGAGATGACGGGCAAGACAGAGATTTATTTGGGCAAATGTCGAAAAAAGAATCATTAAAGCTAGAAAGCATGGTACACATTTGCTAAAGCATATAATATAACGACTTAAGATGAACGAGTAAACTTATGATGAACAAATAAGAAGTATCGACAAATGAATGATAACAGCGATTATCGAATTCTTTTTTGCAATTCGAAATGAACGAATCTGCTAGTGGTCGGTAATTTGTCATGAATTTTATGAAAGCTAAATGCTAAAAAAACTTTGGATTTTCCCAAACACATGTTCTCCCATTTTCACAAGAATTTAGGCTTAATACCAATCCAAATCTGATCACAGATGTCAACTGAAGGTCAGCATTAGACCTACAACACAATACACTGCAATATTTCCAACGAAAAACCTCTAGGCATCAGCTCAACATACAAACAACCTTCGGCGGGTAGCAGATAATGTCTTCAACAAAGTTAACTTCACAGAAAATTGCTGAGCACAGATCTGAACAATACATTCCTTGTTGAAGAACACATTTTGTTTGTATAATGAATGGAATAAACGAAGTGATCATTTGCAGTGAACATTCATAAAAATTACACCAAATTCTTCGTGCAATTCGTTTGCGTCACCTGTGTATGCCCTTCAGAATTCATATAATTTCGGTTTGCATTAAAAGATGCTTTGTTTACAGCTGTAAACATCAAACATTCTTCTCAGTGATGAACTTTCCGAATGGCACAGTTCAGTCAGTTTCTCTCATACACAATTTTGAGAAGAAAGAAAAATAATGTGGAGAGCGATGAGACTCGAGATGAGTATTACAAATGAATGCAATTAAGGCACATACATATTTTGTGAAGGGATGCAGCTCGAATAAACAGAATGAGGCAAACAATAAAATATCTAAAAACATTCGCAAATGACAATTTCAGTAGTGTACAAGAAGGTTATGCTAACAAAGTGAACTAAAACGGATTGAATGAGACCGGTGTATGCCAATATTTGAACAACATGTTTAGATCATAACAAAAAACAACAACATAAGGAGAATGGCGACGAGTAAATAAGTCAATCACCCGCATAAAATGACTCACTTGCATCGAATGAAAGAAACAAACGCGAAATTTAGCATGATGATGACGACAGACCAATAAAATCATTAATCTAGATATTTTGAAGCATTCCGTCTTTGTATATTTCATCATATTATATAATAAATGAATCGGAGCATCAATAAACTCATTAAATATCAACGTTGCTATGCTCATCGACAGATCGCATTTTTTGCAAAAGATTAAATTCTTCGGAATTTCGATATATTGATGGCGTATGATTGGTTTCAGTCATGCACGTCACTGTATCATTATAAACACTTTCGTACATTGGATTCGTGAAATTGGTTGACTGAAACGTTATAAAATAGCACTGAATGAATATAAATCAAGTGAACAAAGAAGTAGAAGTAATTCGAGTACGATTAAGTCAAATGTCAACCTCATTAACAACAATTGTATCCCCAGCAGACGTAGCCTCTTCTCCTTCGTCCTCACCGGCCATAAAAGCTGGATTTTGAAATTCATCCATATCGGCATCAACAACGTTCTCTTGCATTCGTGAATGTGCAAATTGACGAGAAGATCTGCAAATGAGAAATTCATTATTAACGCAGTTTTGTAAATCTGAGTTGGGCAGGTAAACTGAGTTCTAAATTTGAGTTATGTAAATAGCATGACAATAATAAAAATGAAATGCATTGGTATGCCATTCGGTGTCGAGCAAAACTTTTTCTCGCGAGCGGGAATCGAACGTGCACGCATCAATAATATTAGGTTGTTTAGAGAGTTCCTTCGATGATTTTGTTAGTTGCGTGTGGGTGCTGCTTTATGTCTTTTCGGTAGCAATATTTCTAAACGGTCACCGAGGCGATACCCACACACCACTGTCAAATCAACTTTCCTAGCAATGCAATAACAATCATCTGTGCGACACTCACTTCCACGACAATCATTTTGACTTACACCATGCCTACATTCTCTAAATTTCTTCGTATGGCTTTTCATACGTCTCTCTGCATCAGAACTGCGCAACGCGCAACCATAATAATATTCCAATATCCTCTAATACCATATGCAAGAAATCATCATAATCGTCGAAGTGAAAAATATTCAAATTCTGAATCAATCCAATCTTCACAGCGCTGAACAGTCTATTGAATTCGTCAAGCAGCAAATTGTGAAGTCGATTGAAGGACAAATTTTAACGACAGAATAACCAAAATCTTGAATTGACGGCTTCAACACCAAAAAAGGTAAACTTTGAAGAGAAGTTAATTGCAAATTCTACCTTTGACGCCTTACAACCACCAAATAAAGAACAACGATTGATAACAGGATGATAAAAACCACTGGGAATACGACAATTATCACCTCTAAAATTCGATGTTGTTAACGGAATTTTATTCGAATTGATTCATTTCCGGTTGTTGTCATACAGCATAAACGATTTGAAAAAATTTAGAGTTCGAAATTCAATGAATAAATTGTGAAAAGGATTTTGAAAACCTGCAGCTGTTCCGGTCCTCTCGTCGGCCTTTGAAATTTGAACAGATGAACGCGGAAACTGACAACGATCACCCAACCATGCACTGCTACACCTTTAAAAGAACAACTTTCTATTGCGTGAATGGGTTGAATCGTTGTCGAAAACGCAAGAATTAATCAGCTCAATGATACGGAACTGAATACTGGATGGCATATTTGGATAAGCGAAACAATTGTCAACTTATCAAACAAGCAAAGGACGAACGAGCAAATAGCACGCTGTTCAGCGATGAAACACGTGCCGCCATTGCGACAATATCCATGACATTCTGGAGTTGCACACACCAAACCTCGCCAACCAACTGGACACGAACAACGGACACCTTTCGAAGCGGCCACTGTCATACATCTACCCGCATTATGGCATGTCAATTCAGCACATGTACGAGCTGAGATTTCATTGCAGCTATAAAACACATCGATGAATTTATACATAACGTTTAGCTTATCAATGCTATTCATATACTTCTGTTTCAGATAATATCTGCATTAACTGAAGTTTTTCAGAGAATTAAGCTTGAGAGTGTTCGTGATTAGAGTGCAACATTGAATTAATGAATTTTTGCATACACTCCTCAAAATTAAATCTGAATGCGAATTAATGTTGATGGAACAGTATGAAACAAATGCCTTTTTTTAAATAAAAAGAGAAAGAATGTTACAATCACTATGCAGTAACCAACCTGGCTCCGGAAAGTCCACGTGGACATTCGCAAACTGCTCCAAGATTCTCGTCTAATCGGCATTTTGCGCCATTCTCACAACTAGTTGCACATTTACCAAAAATATCACAACGCTTCCCTGTGTAGCCTGGTTTACATCTGAAAAGTTGTTGACTCGTTTAGAGATGATAATGAAACATAGCCAAGCACTGAATGCAAAGATCATAGTCAATGACTGTTTCGGTTCACTAAAAAAATCCACTGAACTGGTCTTGTAGAACAGCTAAGCGAATACTGACTGATTATAATGGTGAGTAAGAGTTGTAATTAATATTCACTTACATGCACATCCACTCTTGGTCATTTTTCGAGTAACATTCTGCTTCATTTAAACAATAATCACTGCATTCTCGTTTCTCAGTGCAACGCTCTCCTTGATATTTACTTGGACAAATACATATTGGTCCACGAGCCGAATCATGAACACAATGCCCTACAAATGACATGCGATCTAGCATTGTTTATCAATCCAACAAACCTAATAAATGAATTTACAAGATAGACTTTAAAATGGCACCAATTCAATAAAACACTATCAATGCTGGATTAATCACGAATATTCATTTCATTATAAGCCACTCCACTGTTCAGTTAAATACGAATCAACAATAAAGCATAATATAGGCCGATAAATATGCATCTTATGAGATTTAATTCTATGTGTAGTGATAACCTCCATTAAGACAGTGATGTTCATTACGATGACACCAGTCATCAGCACAACGCGCGCCACCGAATCCAGCCGGACAAACACAATCAATTTCATTTTTGCTTCCACTTATTGACGATCGCACACAAATACCATCATTATAGCAATACCCTATATGTAAGTCATTTACTAACAATAATGACAAGGAACTCTCAAACAAATGAATCCAATGGTTTAAGAAATTTCAAGTCATGCCAACGAATACGATTGAATCATGATAATGAAAATAATAAACATTAAGTTTATTTGAATGAAAAAAAGAAAACATTTTCACGCAAAGGAACATCGAATAATAACATAGAAAGAGAAGAATGAACAAACCAATGCACAAATCTTTCTCACACGATACACCCGCGTACCCAGGAGGACACGAGCAACCCTTCCTATCTTTGCAGTATCCACCATTACGACATGCATGCATTCCCCCATTCTCGAGAACACAGTTCTCACATCGTCTTCCTAACAACCAGTTATTTTTATTCAATATTCACATTGTGTTTCAATCTCTTCATTGAACTATCAACACAATAATCCACTCGAGTGTTTGTTACGATTCTGACAGAAGCCCTGACAATCATTTCGAATCGCATTGTTTTCGTACAAACGAAACTTCAGATGATAAACATGAGCAAAAGCACAACTTGTTAACTAACCCATAAACTCTCGAGGACATTTGCAGAAGGGACTCATATCCTCGGCATACGAGCAATTTCCTCCATTGAAACAAAATGATTTACAGGCGTCGATTCGTCGCTCACACTCAGCACCTGTATAGCCAGGGTCACATTCACAACTAGGAAGTCCCGTTGTTTGTGATATCTGAATTTAAAATTTCACTTGTGCAAAGATGGAAGTGACCATCATGCAACATTTGCTTATATTATTAAAAATGTATGTCCTCCAACAAGATTAAATGATGTCCTCAAACAAGATTGAATGATGTATTTAATCAACGAACTATACAAACTCCATTCGCACCGCACCGACCCGTACACTTGTAGAGTTGACAACGTTTACCTGTGTACTGAATCGGACAACTGCAAGCAATAAATAATTAAATGAGTAGCAATGAGCATTCAACAATAATATTAAGAAGCTGACAAATAAAATAATGAATACTAATAAATTGCAAAAAATCAGATTTTTGATTCGAAAACATCGATACCACACATTGTGACACATGCTAATTGTATATAACTCCTTAAAGATCTATGCAACAGAAACAACAACGATAAAACCATTACAAAACCGGTTATGACTGCAATATATCTTTTGATTTGTTCACATTCACCGAAAATTCATTCACATACCATAGAAATAGTATTTTTTGTTGTTAAAATCAATCGCTAACAACAAACTATCAAAAGGTTTCATTATATATAACAGGTTTTATCGTTTAAAATAATGATGAAACGCTTGCAATGATCAATATTTTCGAAAATGAAGAAATGCAATTAATGAACGGCAAACTTGTAAATTAGAAAATACCTGCAATCTGGATCTGCATACATGGCATAAGTGTCATAAATGAGAGTACAGTTTCCTCCATTAAGGCAATAATTATGGCAAACGTCTGTCTCACAACGCTCGCCTCGAATTCCTTTAGGACATATACATCGATGTCCCGTTGAATCACATACACCACCATTAAGACAGAATTGCGAGCCACATGCTTTAAATATTTCATTTGATTAGATCGATGACAACGATTGTGACTTATGATTGTAGCATTGTCATTATGTAATCAATCATAGCATAACGGAAGATTACTGTGCGTGGCTTTTTGAGTGCTTCAGAAATTCACACGCCTTTCTAGAACGGATGGCTAAAAAACTTGGTGAATGGAACCGTAAAGAGCAAAATTTCTTGGGTCATCAATATTCGCTAAAGATAATAAATGAAACGTTTAAACTGCTTCAAGACTGACCTTCTGAAAAATAATCTATTATCATATAAATGAAAACTTACGTTTCGACATTTTTTCGTCTTTCTTTAACTGAACGCAACTTTTAGTTTGCGTATCATAAACAGCACCATGAATACACAAACATGAGTAAGTTGACGGGTCCATGGCATTCGGAATGCACGGTCGACGTCCACATTTGGGTGCATCACTAAGAGAAGAATTGATCGAACATGCCGAATGTAACGCATCTAAAAAAACATCATACGAATATCCTCTGATCGATGCATGCTATCCTTATCAGCTAGACGATTTGTTTGCACCACTTATATTCTTTGCACGCGAGACGAAATTAAAGAAACGAGAATTAATTATAAGAAATCAAACATCTTTTCGCTGGATGAATGATGTGTATACGTGCGATCGGTGAGCTGATTGTTAGACCGCTGATTGAACGCTCCGGTTGTTTGCCGAACTTATGCAGCTGCCATACCGAACCTTTCGGTGAACCAATCACATAAAGACTATCCTCGAATACATCTACGCTAAGCGGTCGATCATGCAAAATTCCACCTGGAATATGTTCACAACGCACTGGAACATATATCACGATAACTGATTCAATAAAAAGAAATTTAAACGTAAAAATTCAAGATCTTATTTCAACAACAGATATAATTGCGTGAACAGCTTTGATATATGCTTTAGAAAATCGTCACTGACATCAGAAAGAACATACTCTGATAACCATATTTCTTTACAATACGTCTATCTTTACCCGTCAACGTAATTGTTTCGATAGTTCCCTTCTCGACATCGCTCCAATAAAGTCGACTAAAAATTCATTCAAGGGTATGCAAATTAGTATCTAATATAATCTTTTTCAAATGAACATCTTACCTTTGTAGAGTACTTATTCCGCAAGAGATGTGAAATTTTGGTTCAGAACATTGAATGAACTTACTTATTGGGTTCATCAACACTAAGACTGCTAGGAGAGTAAATAGCATTAAGAGCGATCGTATGCCTCTCAGTGCCATCCAAATTAGACGTTTCAATTGCAGCATAGGGCTCTTGAACACTCCAAAATAATCGTCTGAAAGCATGCATTCGATACTGGAATATGGTTGATCTCGTAGTAACAGTGAATATATTTTAAAATTGTGATAAACTGACAGCCGATTTGGTGCAACAACAACGGCCGTTACTCTCAACAAATTGCCCCATACAATCGGAATACTTGCACCATTGTTTCTAACTTCAGATATCGGAGTCACAGATATAACTGCTCCATCAATGCTGAAAAGGAAATAAATCAAATTCCGAATAATTTACAAATAGCTCGTCAAAAACAATCACTGAAACTGTTAATTGATCGGTACTTCGTTTTCATTATCAGTAAACAACGCTCATAAAACTGCGATTGCATCATAAATAATCAACGATAAAGATCCAAATTCATGTTTCGATAGAAATTCTAACAATAATTTTAAAAATGAACAAACAAAACGAATTGACGGTGGGAAAATCACAATCCTTCCATTAAAAATGGTTTCTGAGAGAAATATAATCTTCTTTTTTTGAGGGGAATGATACCGAATAAATTATGTGATATTCAACTCATAGCGAATGATCATAAGTTGAAGATGAACTACCCAAAAATGAAGGCAGAATGGACGTGATAAACATTGCGATTGATCCAATCGACACAAACCGAAGTCGCTCTATGAAATCGCATCACCTGGAAAGTTAATTGCTCTCAATAACTGAAACATCAAATCGAATCATGCACATAACTTTGTATGGCTATTTTCCGAGATGGATAATGAGACGTAAAAATGCTGCTCAAGAAGTTTCTCTTGTGGCATTTAACAGGAACAAAATAGATAAAAGCAAACCGATAATTGTGGGGAGGCACGTTTCACATTTGATGATTTAATGCGCAACATTTCTGACAATGTTCCTGACTGCACCGTTTCATGCGCCTGCAAATAATATAATTCAATGCAACCACCAACTAAATTAGATGAATGAAATAATGATAATGACGTTCGAAGTAAAATCTGTTACTGAGAAGTCTTCCATTAAAATATTTTCATGGTCGCATTAAAAACTTCAATTTGGAAAGATTCAATGATTTGAAAATTGAACGATTCGAATGACTATCAACAGTGAATCCACGAGTTATTTATTACCTAATGATGAGAGACTAAGATGTTGCTTTTGGTTCGAATCAAATCCTATGAAATCAGGTCATAACATGAAGCTCAAAAGAATACATAATTGTCTGATGGAGAACTGAAAACTGACGGTATCAACCCAAAAGTATAGCAGGTTTTGTTTTGTAGGATCGTTCGAGGATGAGACATCAAGAGCATAGTCGAAATCAGTGATTGTTCGTTGCAATTCATTAGTCTTCACACGAATGTTGCTCACGTTATGTGTATGTGCGAACGAATGCATTATTCGTGAGTCCATTATCCCAACTTCTGCATTTTTTACACCTGAAATCACTTTCATACAATTACTGTCATCGAAAGACGACTGCAATACAATACACAAATAATTTGAGGAACGATATATTATCATCTGTATTCCAATCGTACGCTCTCTATTCGTTGGCAAAGTTTTCTCGAATATGCTTTTTGAAGTGTTTCATTAAAGTTTGAGCGAACCTCAAAATATGAAATGCAAAGAGTAAGGAGCAATGCATAATAATTTGTTACCATTCAGAATAAAACCACGTTCAGGTAATCAAACTCATCAGACATTCTATATCTTCTCAAAAAATTCTCGGCATACACCATTGAAAATGAATGCAATTTGTTAAACAAACCAGCTGCTTTACACTGATCACGATTCCAATATTCGCGAACATATCCCGGAGCACATGCACATTTGATGAGCGGTCTTTTTGGAAGACATTCTTGAACACATGTTCCAAACTGATCACAGAGATTTGTTACGTCTCAAAATTGTTTCTTTTTTATATAGATAAACAAATACTGAACATGCAATGAAGAAAATTAGAATTGAAAATTTTAAATGTGCAAAATTTATTAAACTTAAAAGCTGAACGAAATTAATTATTTGAAGGAACTATAAATTAAAAGCGATGATTTTGATCTATAAAATGAAACAGAAATATTTACCACAATTGAATTCATCGCTTCCATCACCACAATCATCATAACCATCGCATTGTTTCGCATATGGTATACACCGACCGGTTGTAGCACAACGAAATGAACTACGACAACTTTTATTGCCTAAATTGGTGCTATTCAAACTAGAATTAATCAAAAACAGATAAGTGAATGTCTTGATAAGAGAATATTCGCGATGTAATTCCAGTAAAGTTGATTGAAAAGCATACAAGCAGCATTGTTTTCATCGGAATCATCCTCACAATCCGATACACCGTCACAGAATCCAGCTTGCGGATAGCAACGATCGTTTGAACATTTCAGGTGATTATCGCCACAGTCATGCAGTGCTTCAATACAATAACCACAAATTCATTCGTATCATTCAAGCGAGAGGTAAACAAATCAAAGATACACAATTGTATTGATCAAAACAACTGATTAAGCTGATTAAGAATTACCACAAACGCGAGCATCTTCATCATGTCCATTCGGACATTGCGGTGTACCATCACAAACCATACTTCTTTGGATGCAATAAAGCGTTGAGCCTTTCGTTCTAAGAATATTCATTTATAGGCTTAGACTTGATTGGAACTCCGAAAGAAACAAGGACACCGGGTATTTTAATGATAGTGACAATTCAACTGCGATCAGTTGGCCGAATTTAATGCGTTAATGAAAGCTAATCTGTTAGAGTTTCGGCTACTGAAAAGAATGAAACCGTTTAGATGACAGAATCAAAAATCAATAAAATTCGCGCTGAAAATTGAAATAAATGATTGGCATTCATAATGGATAGAACAACAATAAAATTTACGCATTTCCATTGAAACATCGGAACGAAGTGAATCCATGTTCCATATTCGAGAAACACGCTGCAAGAGAATTAAAAATAAAATGTACTGCAATACTGTCAATGAAATCAATCATGCCTATGCTCTAACAATAGGACTGTTTTCTGAATGAATGTGTGAATTGTTCGAACGCATAACAAAAATGCAGCTAGCCTTTCACTGTGTTCGTTGGCTGATAGAAACATTCAACGATGTAATTATGATAACGGAAGCGAAACATTGAAATAATGAATCTCAATTTACACAAAAAATGAAACCAACAGCAATAAATTTCGTCTGATGCATCCTCACAATCAATAACGCGATCACATACTTGATTTTGTGAGATACATTTTGAAGATGGTAATCCGCATGCGAACGTTCCTTTCGCACATGCTAAATAGAAAATATCATTGTAGTGAATAGACATAATGACAATAGATGATATTACAATCATTGTAGGTATTTTTGAACGATTGGAAGCGAACGAAGATACGATTTGAAGTTTCGATGGAATTCACTCGTTTTCTATCATCATTTAAATTAAAGTTTGAGAAGAGCTGATTAACAACAATGACGCCTTGATTGCTTCGATGAATCATATAGAGGTTTATCAGTTGAGTGCATTCAGAACCTGAAGCTTCGATAGAAGTATGAGCGTGTATGCTCATCCTTCTGTCCAGACTAAATAGGAGAGGCAAAACAATTGCTATGAAATGAATGAACATCTAATTAATAACGATCACTCACAATGACATCCAATTTCATCACTAAAATCAGCACAATCCCGGTGACCATCGCACTTTTGTGACATCCTCAAACATCCACTACCATCAGCACACCGAAAATTACCATCACTACAATCTGACGTTATCACTGAATCAGCACAATCCACTTCATCCGAACCATCATCACAATCACGTTCACCATCACAGACCCACCTAAAGCAATGTATCTTTTTATTATGAGGCATACCTATGTGTACACTAAAATTAAGCGCATAAATAAGAAACAAAAGAAACATACGATTTAGCAATACATCTTCCATTACTTTTGCACGAGAATTGATCAGACTCGCAACCAAGTGGACAATCTACAACGATGAAATGAGGAATAAATTTGAATAATTGGAAAGTAAGAAAAAAAGTGAAACTGAACTGTGTGTTACCTTTTTCATCATCTCCATCATTACAATCATTTCGGCCATCACATTTCCAACCAGATGGAATGCAACGACCCGATTTGCATCTGAATTCATTCTCAAGACAAACGCGTTGCGCTAAATAACAATTATGATAACTATCACATTAAATGAGTTGAACTTAATTGGACGGAAATTCATGAGGATGAGTAGTAAACTATGTTATTCAATCGTTCAGATCACTGATTTGATATGAGATTTTGAATGCAATCAATACTAATGATAGAATGAACTGTTTGAATAAGATAAAGTACGTTCCTGAGGTTCTCTCAAAAATATGTCACAGCAAAGATGACAATGACATGGAAATCAATAATTAATTCTCTTCTTTCTATAGCGGAAATCTAGTTCATTCTTATCAGTTCAAAACTGCAACTACTCACAACACATCGTTTGGTCCTCATCAAGCGCATTTGCACAGTCTGCATGACCATCGCAGAGATTTATCGTCGGAATGCAAATGTTCTCATCACATCTAAATCGACCCAGACCACATTTTTTTCGATCTAAAATGATTCATACTCAAATAAAGATTGCTTGTTAAGCTCGACAGCACTTTCTTCAGGTGACATTTTCATTGTTTAAATTCAAAAGTAATCAGATGAATATTGTAGAAAGGAAAGAGCAATACGAATTGAACAACTGACCGCAAAATCGTTCATCAGCGCCATTACCACAGTCATCAATACCATCACAAAGAGCCGCTTTCGGAATACATCTCGAAGTATTCGAGCATTTGAACTGCTCATCGCTACACTGATACGAACCTGAATCATCAAATAGCACTATCAGCTTCACTCATAAACTATACTGTAGCTGAATTCTTTCATTGGGACATCGATACACACAATTGAAGGTTAAACTTAAACAGGAATTTATATAGAACATTTCACAGCCGCAAAAATGTTGAATTAGTCGTAATTGATTTATAAATTAGTGAAATCAGGAGTGGTCATCACTATCTCCATCCTCAAAACGATCAATATTTCAATTTGAAAGTATAACGAATGAGAGGTTATCTCAGAAGATAAAATCGTACTGCATAATTCCGTTCTTTCGTCATCTCCGAGCGGACAGTTCACTTTACCATTGCATATATCTTGTGGTCCAATACAAACTGCTGTAGCATTTTCAGACTCCATTTCACAAGACATCTGACCCAATTCGCACTTGAATTCCGGACATGCTCCTTTGATACCAAATCGTTCATCTTCCATATCTCCGCAATCGTCTTGTCCATCACAGACCCACCAGAACGGAAGACATTTGAATGTGTTATGACAGATGAAGTCAGTCGGTTTACAGTCCGGTATGCACTTGCTGCCCTCAGCACGAAATCCTTGTGCACACACACAGGTGAACTGCTGCTGACTTGTTGAAGCCAGACATATGTTGTCACACTGATTTGCTTTACGGCATGGGTGTGATAAATGCTGCCCGTCAACAGCCATTTGCAGCAGCGGATGCACTATCTTAATGCCCATCGGTCTGTAGTGTGTGAAATTCAATATAACTGTACGCAGTTCACCATTCACTTTATGGGCTCGTTCCACAGTGCGATTTGTCCAATCAGTCCAATAAAGAAAGTCTTCGAATACAGCCAATCCAAAAATATGTTTGACTGATTTGGTGATCACAGTACGTCTGTTCTGACCATAATAATCAGATGAGCCTGAAAAGACTGACTGAGCTGCTTTGAAAGGCAATCAACGTGGGTATAAATGAAAGAATATTTGACTGAAGAATCAAATTAACTAGAGTTGGGAAGAGAAAGGAAAGGGAAGGCATTTAGATGGGAGATCACGCTTGCATCAGCCGAGGTTGAGAGGGCAGTGGACGCCGAAAAAGCCTTCCCGGAATAGGCGGCAGATCACGTGAGGTCTCTGTTTTCATTTTTATGACTGATATGAGCACATATTGCGTTTGAGTCTAGAAGGGAATGTAAAAGGAGAGAGTACCTTCAGGATGGAAATGTGGGAATGGACGGAAAGAGACCGAAAATGTGAGGCATATCTGAACCGCGCTGAATTATTTGAAAAACCTAGATGAAATGAGAAAAAAATAACGTGAAACGAAGTGAATAAGAATGATTATGCGACATGAAATAGTGTCAAAAATAACCAATATAATCGAGATGACCATCGCCCCAGAAAAGACGCTTTGTTGTGGTATCGACAGCGAGCGCATTAGGCCATTTAAGTGATGTGTTGATTATAAGATTACGATTCTTACCATCCATATCCATACGACCAATATGAGGACGTTCACCCCAATCGGACCAAAACAAAACGCTGAAATAAAAGATTGTTGAACCTCTATCAAAACGAACTTCATGATGAATATTACAATGACGTTGACGCTTGATGTGACTAATCAAATAACGCAACAGTTTAAAAAATAACACAACTTTAATAACACGATCAGTACTGAGTTAAAAACTGAGGAATAGTGAGTAGAATCACAACTGTATTGTCTTTATGAGAAAATCTTCCCATAATTCTTCAATCGAATTCTCTAGCGAAACGTATAATAATAAATTTGTAAACAAATAAGAAGAGAAGATAAAAAAATTAACGAATAAGAAAACAACGAACGCTGCCATCGCATCTAGCACAATTGCTCTCGGCTCTTGTAGCGGTTCACCTTTTAGAAGAATGTGACGATAAAGACCTTTCATATTGGCAACCGAAATACTATCACCATCCTGAATGCAATCAAATACAATTCTAAAATCACACAAGATGTTTTCAAATGAGAGAAATTCCATCGGAAATTGCCTCAACGTAGTGAATATCGGACTAATGCTATATGAATGATAAGCAACTGTCTCAATTCAGAAGATGGGTTCACAGACCTTATCACACCAATAGATGTTCCTCGCAAGCCAATCAACGGCAAGCCCATCAGGACTACCACCGAATAAACCCGATAGTACCTGCAACAAAATGGCATTTATTTTGCGTACTGACATTAAATTGATCAAAACTGATGGGAAAACAAACCTTGAAGGTACCATTTTGCTTACTAAGCGATGTATATCCGATACTGCTGGCTGTATGTGTCACATCAGTCCAATAAACTAACTGAGACATGAAATCATAATCGACCGCAACACCGTTTGAAAGATTCGATAATAACGCACCTTTTGGAGTACCAGTTACAGAGAACAAACGTATATAATGACGATTGATCAACAAAATTTCTGGATCTACTGAAATTTTCAAGTACATACTATTATCTGGTGCATTCAACTTAAATTAATTACAAACAGAGATGAATGAAAGAAATGAATTTGCACTGATTTAAAATCACTCAACCGAATACGAATATCACTGAAGAGCAGAAATGAACAAGACGAAATCTTTTGAAAGAAATGAATATAGAACAAATAAAATAACTAACTCGAATCGCTGTGACGACATGTTTGTCGATCAGGGGCTAACTTGTAGCCTGGATCACATGCACATTCAAAGCTATTACCACCTTTACTTAGACAATGCTGTGAACATGGAAAATCGTCACATTGATCATGCACTAAAAATAAATTCGCTGAGACGACTTGATATGCATTATTTGGTTGCATTTCATTTTATATTCACATAAACGTCATAATATCGTGCTGAAGTAAGTTTTTTACTGCAGTGTAACAAAGAGCAACGATAATACCTCCGTTAGCAGAATATTCCTCATGAGCAGCGAATGAAAATGACAAGCATATGAATATGATAATGACAAGAAAGACATACAAATACAAGAACGATTATCGTGCTTGCTTATCACCCTTGGTGGAGTGCATTCACACCGATACGATATCGGAAGGTTAACGCAGATCTCTTCGCATGGCTCATCCGTACATTCATCAACACGACAAGTGAGGGGTTCATCCGAACTGAAATTTCAATTATAGCAAGTACGTAAAATTGGGATGAAATGCAAGTGATGAACAATTAGAATTAATAAAGAACCACCGAAGTGTCATGATCTTTAGTGATTTGCCGTAAATAGATTACACACCAAGTACACATATAGCATAACTCTTTCAATACAGTTTTTACGGTTCAATTCTGAAGCTAAAATAATGCATTCTGCAAGCAATGCATGCAATCGAATATATAAACGAGGACGTACTTATCACCACAATCATTCTTTGAATTACAGACAAGAGTGGCATCGATACAAACACCATTTGCACACTGAAACATCATCGCACCACAACCGCCCCGCGATGCATCTAAGCATAATTCGGGTGCTTCATCCGTTCCATCTGAACAATCTTCAATACCGTTGCATGTCCAATTCCGAATGATGCATTCACCGCTTATCGCACATCGGAATTGCCATTGCTCACATTCAAATTGTTGCGAACGGTGATTAGCATGATGATCACAACTCAACGGCTCATCGCTTCCGTCATCACAGTCCTTTTGACCATCACAATAATGTCTTCTCGGAATGCATTGTATCGAGCCGTGTACAGTTGCATTGCAACGGAATTCACTTTCTTTACACGATCGTAACACTGTCATTAGTGAGTCGTCTGCAATTGGATTTATTTGATCACGACTGCTGTTCTCACATCAAATATGCACATCGTTTGCGTTCTTACTTGAGCAGGCGTCAACTTTGACGCTGAATCGAATAACATTTTCAGAAGTGATAATCGTTAAAGGCAACTTATTTTCAATTAGGGAAATGCGCTATAATCGATGGTAAAGTTTAAAAGAAAGATTACGGAAAATTCCTCAGGATAACTCGATGAAGTACACCATTTTAGGAATCTGTAAAAATGATGCTTCTTTCAAGAAGAATCGAAACGTCCGAATCAAAACGCAATGCGACGATGACTGATGCAAAAACGAACCACATTCTTTCTCATCAGAACTTAAACCATTCTTCTCACCATCCATGCAGTCGTCAGTTCCATCACAGTGCCATTCCAGTGGTATACAATTTCCATTCGCACACATAAAATAATTCTTTTCATCGCATAACCTAAATTATCTTCATACAACAACAAACCTTGTATACTTCAAACCATAAGAATGAAATGAAGAGAGGATAGCCGACTCACCCCTCGCAGTTCTTTTCATCGCTTCCATCCCCACAGTCATCGTTACCATCACATTTCCATCGTTTATCGAGACATTTCCCAGTGGATGTGCACGTATGTTCTAGGTCGTCATCACAAGTTTTACCTCAAAAGTATTTACTCATTAGTGTTATAATCTAAGGGAACTAATCACATATGTTGTAAATTGAAAGCATAATTTTACAGTGATCTGAAAATCATTATGAGAGTAAAGTTAGTGATTGAATTAGTAAATATGCAATTGGAACAGCTGGCATAGAGATTCGCTTGGAATTCTGAAAGCAAGATTAAACGACATGGTCGAAAACTGGACATTCTGATAGAATTATTAGTGACAGATTACATTCCAGCGGCGTTTCGTGACGATTGCGAAAATGGACAATGATGAGAACTGCATCAGAAATGACATGAGAACTGCATCACAAAAAAATGGCAACGCTAAAAACGGTGCGCGTCGATAACCAAAGGGATCTCACAAAGGATTAACACAGAAATCTTTTGTTGGTTGCCTCTATATGTAGGATGCGAAACGAAAAGCTCGAATCATGAGCATAATAATGATGAAACTATAAGAGTTATTCGGCCAGAGATTCATATAAAGTAATCTTACGACAGTTATCCTCATCTGATGCATCCGCACAATCACGATGCCCATCACAAACCCATGCAAGCGGAACGCATGTACCCGTTGAATTACATCGATGCTCATATTTGCTACAGTTATCAATCTTTGAACGTTGTACACTTATTGCTGAAACTAATCTTTTCATTTATTCATTCTCTCCTTTCGAAGTACGATGATGAGCCAGCCAAAATCTCAGTCAGTAATGCCATGCCCACTTTAAAAAAAAACTGACTGAGCTCCGGCTTCGACTCCACGTTTTTAAAACTTTTCGACTCCGCGTTCTCAAAGATTCGGTACCAGCTCCAGCTCCAGCATTATATTCTTTAAAATTTCGGCTGCGAAGGCAGCTTCGTATCTTTTAAGGTTTCGGTTGCGGCTCCGAAATTTTCTTTGATCCGCTCCGGCTCCAGAGCAAACTGGGTTCGAAAAAAAAAACTATCGTGCCGATCTTCATTCTGGCTACTGAATGTTGCTGTGATTGTTTTTTGAGGGAACCAAAAAGTTTTGCTGGTTCCGAAGCTCAAAGCATCGCTGACCGCAATACTAGGTTCTTTCATGCAAACCACTTCAATGATGGTACAAAATTATTCAATTACATTTCAGAATACAAAATGAAATAAACTGAAAGATAACTACAAAAGAGTTGTTGGTCAAAGAAAAAAGACGATCCCAATGGAAGTGAATCAACTAATCACCTTTATGAAAAGTAGGACACTTCTCTTCGTCCCAACCATCCCAACAGTCATCATTACCGTCACATAACCATGCTGGGATGATGCACTGCGTTGTACGTCCACAACTGATCATATTTTGTCCAAGTGCTTTGACTTCACTGCAGTTTCGTGGTGCTAAAACTAATTCCTATTGACATTTCAAACAGTTCGGAATCTAACAAGATGATGTACACGGTGAACTAAATGAATCAAATGTAGGCAGGCGAGTACAATCCAAGTAAATAAATAACGATAAAAAGTTACTGACGACATTTCATTTCATCACTAGCATCATTACAATCCATTTTGTAATCGCAACGTACACTCATCGGCACACACATTCCGCTGTTACATCTGAAATGTCATCACACCGAATTGATACTTTCAATGGAAGATATAATGGATACATGAATTATGACATCTATCTTAATGTCGTCAAAATTAGGCAATTAGCAGGTTATTGATATTTTTAAAAAAGTTTAAAAATAAGTTGTTGAATAGCGATAAAGCGAATAAGAATCAGGAGTACTTGAATTCATCTTGAGCACAATCACAGTCCACTTCATCTTGATAGTTCTTGCAATCATTTACTTTATCGCACTTTTTTGATGATCGGATACAAACACCATTACCACATGAGAAATAACCATCACGACAGATTCGACGAGCTGCAATTGCATTCAAAATTATATTATCATCAAGCTTGTATGCTATCGATGAAATTCACAAAATCATAACGACAAAGAAGGCAAATAAATTTTCAATGAATTATACGAGTGAAAAAGGAAAGTGACTGGGAAGTTATTCACAATAACATGATACGATGAGCACACTAGTGTCGTGCGAGGATCGGCGACCCCGTCCCCGACTTTCTTCCAGCCGACCACATTTCCGCGGTCCCCAACTGGAAGATTTCGTCCTCGACTTTTTTTCCGCCCCGCACCACACTAGAGTGCACTACCAACGAGTACATCGATTGCATATCGCAATTGAAATTCAACCAATTTCATTGATGTCTTCTGGTGATCTTAAAAAAAATATGCTAACCACAAAATTCCACATCCTCATCTTCTCCTTGAGGACAGTCTTTGACCATATCACAAGTTTCTTCGTACGGTATACATTTACTCCCGCCATTGCAGGCCCATTCGTTGACAGTGCATACAGATTGATATTCTGTGCCACAAATAAAATGAGATAAAATTTATGTTGATGAAAGCAGTTTGGATTCATTTAGAATTCGTTGGAAATGTCAAAATGTCAAAAGATCACATGCTTTCTAAACGATACCAGAAACGATCAAGATGAAATGAGAAACGATCACGCTTTTGCATTTCTCGTCTATGTTTAGAGTAAGCGAATGACTGTATGAAGAAGAAAATTAAGTTGAATTGGATGAATGTACCTCCACTACAAGTTTTATTATCGGCATTCAAACGTCTATCTGCATTGCAAGCACAATGTGGCTTGCCAGTGGCAGTTAGTCTGCATTCATCCTCACATCCTAGATCAGTCGTTGAACACGCATCAAGTCCACCTTTAACAACATTAGTTCATCTTTCAAACACCATTTGATTAAAAAACCGCTAGCAAATGATATCCCTGTTGGATCTGTTATCACATGAATATGATATGATTACAATAATAACAACCAACATTGATCGGCTAAGCTGTCCACTGCAACGATACCCATCGGTTGTTCGGTGATATTTGCACGCAATGCTCGTGTTTCACCACCAGTCAACTTGTTCACAGCAATAACAGCACGATGGATCCAATCAGTAAAGAACAGTGTATTTCCCAATAAGGATAATCCAAACGGATGAGCAGGATGCCCAATTGTAGACGAGTCATTTCCTTTCATTATTACCTAGAAGTATCACAAAAACTAATTCGTTCATCCCTCATAATATATCATATTTCTTTGAACAATTCCACCTCCCCCCTCCCCCAAGAAAGAACCCTGGAAAATTTAAATCCACTCTCAATAGATCCTTTCCTTTAAGGAAAAACTCCCCTTTCGTACAAACTCAATTCGTGAATAAATCTGTGATTTTCTCCCGAAAATTTGTTTAAAACTTTTACCCAAACTGACTCAAAAAAGCGCAGTATCAATGTGGTTATTCAGTACCCTTATTCATTCGATTTTGTTGTGTACTCAGTAGCTTCTTTTTTAACGGATTTGTTCGAAAAAACAAAACTTGGGAGAATTACTTATTTTCATGAATCTCATGCCTTAATAACAGATCTGCATTGTATTTCACTAATTAAAACATGGCATTCCTTTGAATAGAACTAAATGAATAATGACGAAAATATCAATTCCATGCGTTAAAAATATGAGCACTCATCCACCTCTCTGTGCTTGCCATCCATGTCACATCGTTCGATTTTATCCAATCTTGCATCCGACCAATACAATTTTCGAGCAACGAAATCAATCGAAATTGCATTCGGAGTTCGAATACCTTCACTGATCACCTTCTCCTGCAATCTCTATCACTATTAATTGAAAACATGAGTAATTTCCTGCAAAATTAGCTAATGAAGGACGCAATTTTAACTGTAAAAGTAATGTTTTGATCAATAAAAAAATAACTGAATAAACGAACTCTTCCATAACCGCTGAAGAAAGCTTTCTCTATACTTGGATTATCATCCCTCCAATTCGTAAAAAATATTGTCCTGTAAGAAGATTGTTTCAATAAAATATTGAGAAAATCTCTAAAGACTTATTCTAGCTATCAGGGTACTACGATGCGATGATATAAACACAAAGCCTAAATATGGTAACTAGACAGCTTCCCTCAAAGAGAACTATCTCTCTCTCTTTCCCCCCCCCCCCCCGTCTCCACCAACTTGCCTCCACGATATTCATCTTCGTAAACACAAGTTCTTTCGATTATTAGTATCATTATTATAAACATGACTGTTATATTATATCCTTATTATTACTGTTGTTATTCTCAGGCTTAGGCTTAGACATAGACTGAGGTTGATGCTTAGGCTGAGGTTGATGTTCATCTCGGAGCTGCGGCCGAACTAGAGGTAATGCTGTAGTTAAACTTGAAGAGAACTATCGCACTTAAACTGAGGCAAATTGTTAGGGCAGTTGTCCTGGGGACATTGTTCCCCGAGGCCAATTGTTTGGGAGGAGGGGAGTGGGGGTGCAGTTGTCCTAGAACCTTTAAGTATATTTGATCGGAAAACTTTTAGTATGATTAGGGTGTAATGAAAAAAGGCAGAAAATGATGATGTGCATACATTAGACATGGATCAACAGCAATCCCTCGCGGGTTATCCGATTTGGAAAGACGTAACAAAACGATCGGAATTTTGGGATATGCTGATGGATCAAGTTCAGCGAGTGAGACACGCATAATCGCATGTTCATTGAGCGATGTGAAATAAAGATCACGATGGTAAAAGTCGAATGCAAGTCCTTCAACCGAACCAACATCTGAATTTGGTCTGATTATTCACAAAGATGTTTAGTTTCTACATGATAGAGTGATTAAATTGGTAGGCTTTTGATTTTTGATTAACAGTTTATCTTGATTACAAAGCAGATATACATCACAGCTGTTAGCAGGTAGTAAGAAGTCGTATCATTATATGATTTAGGCACTACATTAGAATAAGTGAAAACCAGATGTGAGCAGTAATCACTTTTCATTTCGATTGGACCACTAGAAACGAATTATGATTCTTGGGTATAAGTATAATAAATCCATCAAATATGTTTTGCGTAAAAACGGCGACGAACAAATGCGACATCTTTTTGCTTTGATTATTTAAGACAAAGAGTGCAGTATCCTTAAAAAACGAAAAACAAAAACAGATAGGTAGATGAGAATGAAAGGTATGAAACAGATGCATACTTTCCAGAATTGTGATCGGTGAAGATCCGTCAAACAAAACTGACTGAATTTTCTTCAAATGAATATCACTGAAGATCAACCGCGATCGTTCCTTATCAACTGTTAAGGCAACTGCGTTCCTTATTAATGATGGATTTTCAATCTGAAACGATCAAAAAAGTTTTATTGGCGTGTTTTTTTAACGTCCGATGTCTAAGAATATATTCTAAATCGGCAATTATCGTCTCATTCGAGTTCCACTATACCTCATGGTCAATGAATTTAATCAAATGGAACCTTTTGATATTCATCGACAAGTTTTTGGCTACAGTTGAAGATAATATTATACAACGTTTAACGTGAACTGATAAAGGAAGCGAAACAATTGAGGGACTGACCGGTTTGAAAGCAGCATTTTGACTTATTGAACGACCGCCGATCCATGAAACGAACTCGATTGAACGACCACGAGAGAAGGCAATGAATGTGTTGTGTTCTGCAAGTACACCTTTGAAAGGTGTGGACATACAAATTGATTATGACACTTACTTATTATCTCATTTTCATTGTTCCGTTAGATTTTTTTAGAAAGAAGGCGAGTCATGGAGGACGCAATATTCGTGCACAGGTGAACGTGTATAACTCATACGGGGTAAGAATTTATACAAATAATTTGGGATCAATGCGAACAATTTTTCAATTGTGAGGAATAAGTGAAGGATAACATGAAGAATGACTGAATGATTGCTTAATTGAAAAGAACAGTGATTACGTTCACAATTCTTTGCATCATTCGACAATCGACCAAATGGACAAGCACATCGCACACGGTTTGAACCAATCGCAAAGCACAGTCGTGCACAATCGCCGTTGTTTCGAGCGCATTTATTGTCAACTGCAAACTGATGATGAAAGTCATATTTCAAAACCATCAAGACCACATCAACTATTTTTCAACTTGATAATTCGGTTGCTTGCAGTCGAAAGATAGCTGCATTATATGCACTAGATTAATTTCTTCTTTCTGAGCAGACGGTAATGACTAAATAAATGAATCGAGAAATCATTCATGCCTGATTGTGCATGCTCATCGTAAATCGACAAATCCAAAATTGCGCACATAATTGTTCGATATCGTGCACTTGACGTATTGCTATATGAACCATTAATAAAACGTCGTTCCACAATTTCCCACGTTCCGTCATGCCTTTAAATCCATAAAAACAATCATCAACCTACGAATCAATTAACCAAAAAATCGCAGCAAAACATTACGCATGCAGATTTCAATTAGAATTTGATAAATCGTTATGTAACATCAGTGTGTTATTTCAATAGCCAGAAGCAACAAAGGAAAAGAGCAAGGCAGAGATAGGGAGTTGTTGAGCTAAACAAAACTTAAACGATACATTCTCATCAACGTTACAATTCATTCTATCCATCTGAACGTTACCTTCCCGCGCCCAATCTCGAACTCAATTGAAAAAGACATTTAGACTGGTAAATAATTCATTATGAACAAATTCTCAGATGTTCGTTCAATTTTCATTACGATCAGTGCTTTACTTGTAAGGATAAACAACAATTACCGATGAGTGTAGAAAACAGCTGCTTCACTAAATTCCAACGATACAACAGCAGTTGCACCTAATTTGAACAGTTCTCTCTGAAATATGTAACTGTTTCATCTAGCTTTACATTATTACCACAATGCACTTGAGTAACATTCAATGGACCAGTTATTAATCTATTTGAATTTGCAATCAAACTAAAACATTCACAATTTTCGAAGAAGTAAACTTCATGAACGCTTTTTTTTNTTTTTTTTCATCATATAAAGTGCGATGTACATTTGAAGGGAATATTACAATTAATGACTGAGGGAATTAAATTACAATTCGAGTTGAGGTATGCAACAATTTCGAACAAACAAACCAAATGACGTCCATTGTAGTCGACACATTCAATGGCGATCGCATTCGAGTCAGCAAAACAAATTCGTTTTGCAGATCGATCCAGTGTTATATCGGTAATGTTGTGACGTGTAAATATCAAAACGGACGATGATCCATCCAAAAAACTTCTATATATACCCGATAATGTCAGCCAGAAAAGATAACTGAAATGCTAATATATCAATATTTAACTGATGATATCTCGTTAATCCAACACTACGCTCATTAACTGATAAAGCTATCAATATTGTCTTCATCAGAGTTAAACAAGTAATAACATCTTTCTAAGGTCATACGCCTAATTAATAAGATATTTGCAAGAAGCAATTCACAAATTAAAAGAAAATAAGAGTAACCCTTCGCCGGCGTCAATTTGTAGATGTGATGGTACCGAACCGGTCTGTTGCACAACAATAAGTTTCTGAGTGGGATCTTTATGATCAAGCACTTCAATAAGGCCATTCGAAGATTGGTCTGGCAGTTTAATTGCAACATATATATTACCTGAACTATGTATTGCGTTGTAATGCCGAATCAAATAGTGTTAATCCTCACACGACTGAAAATGTTTCAAAATATCCGAGACCTGAGGTCAGGCTTTACGTATTCATAATACGAGGAGTTTTAATGGAATTTTAACACATGTCGATGCTTGTAAATATTATTTGTGCAACTAATAGTAAGATAAAAATAAAAGAAAACATTATTCTGTTATCAAGCTTACGGGTGGCCATGCACCGCAAAGTCGCAATACGACGGACCAGGTAGGGATAATTTTTGCATCAAGTACTCGTATGATGTGCATGAGTTTTTGATTATTGCTGCGTGATTTTTAGTTTGCATTTGCTGTGAAGTTATTTATATCCGCTAAAACAGTGGTTCTCATAGAGGGTAAATTACCCCTGAGAGGTAACCTAGGGGTGTTTGGGATACTCAGGCATCCCTGGAAAACTAATTTATTTCGTATCGGCAAACTAATATTTCGTGCAGTCGCTATGTTATGATGGAACGCCATTGTGATGATGGGTACTTTAATGCGATTCCCTCACGGCAACACCCTTCTTCATCCTACTTTCTAAGTACCTATAACTCGTCAGGGTCTAAACAAAAGTCCGCTTGAAGTATTCACAAGTATTTCGTAAGCTCTCTAATATGATATCATCTCTCATGAGCAGTAGGGATTGATTAAGTTCTTTGGTGTGGCAGAAAAGATCATTGGCTTGATGCGAGAAGAGCGAGTATTTCTGAATTCATTATTCGGTTGCAATGAAAAGTTTCGATAAGTTTATTAAGTATTACATATAATGAGACTTTTGGTTCGTAAATGAATTTTTTTTGAACGAAGTTAACTGCTCAATTGTGTTACAGGTATCTGGTTCGTGACAAATATATATTATGCTGTGTTGTGGGATTCTGGGTTGAAAGTTATTGTACTCGTATTTCAGGGAACTCATTATTATATCAAATAGCTCTTACTGTATCAATATATTTAATCTCTAATTCTACTCAGTCACTGATGAATGCACAATATGAAATGCGAGATATGGATTAAAACTACTAATGTTAGCGTATATAAATGTTCAGCAGCCAACCTGTTACCCAATCAACTGCCAATGAAATTATTCGTCCACCCGCACCACCATCCATAATCAGTGATGCATCTGTGGAATTACGTTTCAACATCCATAATTCGTTTTTTTCACTATCAACAACGTATATCTGAAACAATTATCACTCGCTTGTAGCAGAACTTATTTATTCGATATGTGAATTAGCTGAACGGTTTTGCACCACGTAATTACATCATTCAAATGCGCAAATATTTCATAGTTCATTAAGTACCGATATAAATAAACAAATTCGAATAAGTTTAGAAGAGATTGTATATTATGATTTCATGAAACTTAGATGAATGCAATGAAATGACAAACCAATTCACGACGTGTATCGACTGTAATCAAAGAGGGTTTTGAGGGTGTTCGAGGTGGAACCGAAATGAATTTAGCTAATAATGATAAAGATCGATGCTGAAGTTGATCCATATTACTCTCTTCAGCATTAAACGCCTTCAAACCATTCTTTTCATCAGTGAACAATACAATCTGATCCAAAGCTGCAAAAAAAGACAAACTTGGTCATTGCGCAGTTTGTGTCATGAAATGATGATTATAAAACAAACCCCTATCACGGTATTTATAAACAACAATTACTGTAGCGATCATTTATCAACCAGCAAATCATTTCATTGCAATCTTTTAAAATGAATCTGTTTATCTCTTTGAATATCATCCCACGTAGAGAATTCTTCATATAACCAGACACCATCTCGTTAAACATCTATGATTTTACAACTGAATGTCTTTTCAACATAGAAACAGAATGACACACTGGGTACTGATATGAAATCATAACTGATATGAAATCTACTGCGCTTGAATATAAAAGTCTCTCAGAGAATACAGATATAACGTGTTATTAGAAGTATATATAAACATTGAGCTTAGAATGTTTCTAAGTTTGTAGATAAACACATGTTCAAAAATGTAGTTAAAAATATACCTATACATGCGTTTCGTTCTTTCACGTATTTATAACCAGCTGCACAAAATGGTTTTAGCGTTGAAGATGAATCACGCAGACAAAAATGGGCACCTCTTGGGCATGTTCCTTTTTTCTCTGCAATGAAGCATCAATAATAATTTCCGTTGACGCATATTCATTATGCATATCTCACAGTTGAGCAATTAAGTTACTTGGCATTGCTAATTTCATTATCAACTAATAACAGTGATCATATTGAACGAACTGCAAAACATAACACAAAAACGAGTAAGTTACTGAAACAAGAGAACAAATAGATTCGACAATTCCAGAACTAACCGCTGAGTATTTGCGTAACATCTCTATCCAAGATAGCCATCGCAACCAAATCAGACGTATTCGAACGCAATAAACGCTTTGAAGACCTGTTCATTCGCATTATTATTATCATTTTATTATCACTAGTAATTATTATTAATACTTTATTATCATTATTAATTATTAGATTATCATTGTCATTATTGCATCCTCTTCAATACTTGTCCTTGCATATTCATTCTTTTATCACGTATGCAATATGCATGCAAAATATTATTCATTAAGTTTTTAATCCCAGAACAGATCCGAACTGAGTATGTCCACATACCTCAACGCTATAGGTTGACCCTTGAAGTGATGATCAGCTGAGAACATTCGTGCATAAATTTCTCTCTTCCTCCAATCATAATACAATATCTCTGAACCGGATGAATCAACCGCAATCTGTGTGATGCCACTAGAATCGTTCTTTTGAAACGACAACTCGTCAACCTATCAATAGCATTTAATTATCATTAATTCTGAGCATGTATCTAAATTCTATCAATAAATTCGAATTCGTTTCTGTCAAATGCGTAGTTCGAGTACAAAGAAGCTGACAAAAACAACCATACAGTTTTGAAAAGACGACATGTATTCGATCATACGCCAGTCTTTAAATGATTCTGAGAATAATAAATCTCGCAGATTGAATGATTATACGAAATAAAGTCGCTCAAACAAGTCTCTGAATGAACGTGATTAAATTTGATCAAAAAAGAAACCAACCAAATGAGTTCCTTCACGAATTTGAACAGCCCGTATAGCAGTAAGATGTGGCTGTGACCAAAAAAGAATGCCACGTTGCAAGTCAATCGACAATGAATGAGCATTATATGTACTGTTTTTGAGATTGTCATCTAATTGCATCCTCTCAACCTTATCACCGTTCATCAATGCTGTGAATAACGCAAACGGCTCATACCCAACATCAAACCAATACATACGTCTAAATTAATCATAGCTGAATTATTCTTGATTCGATTAATGCTCGCATAACTGAGAGTAAAATAAAAGCCGAAAATATACCCTTCAACAATATCCAGTGTGAGGCCTCGTGGTTTTTTCAGCTTATTCATCCTACTACTATCGAGTAGTGTTTGACGATAATGTCCATTCACGGTGGCCACCGAAATTGTGGCACTTGACCCATCGAAGGAATAAGTGGAAAAATATAAAATGCCTGTTTCCGAATCAACGGCAAGTCCTTCACAATTAGATACTTCTAAATTTGTACGGATTATTAAAATGCAAATCCAGTAGTTTAATAGAACAATTTAATGGTGATTTTGCAGTGAAAAAAGATAAGAAGTGTTCGAGAAATTCATTGAAATGGACTTCATTTGAAAATAGGAAATTGCTAACCTTTCCATATAATCGTTTCTTCACCACCAGTTCCGTTAAGATAAACTTTCGAAATCGCTTTCTTGGTATCATCTGACCAAAAAACCGCTGCCTGCTGATGGTCAACAGCAATCGCCTTGATATTTTGTATATCTTTACCAGCAATCACTGGAAATACAGCCGTATTCGGGAAATCAATATCGACCGCGTAGATTGCTGTTGATGTGGCAGCTAACAACGTTTGATTGATGGCTGAAAATCATCATCTCTTCTGATACAAACGTTCAAAAAGTTAAGGCAATTTTTGGGTAATAATCGTATAAAATGAACAAAAACAGAAATAAAACAAGCAATCCGCAATAAACAACAGCATACTCAATCTTATGGTATTATTAAAAACTAAATAAAATAACTCACAAAAACAGTTCTGTTTCTTCGAAGTACTCTCAAGACGCATCATATGTGGACATGCACAAACACGGGTGGATGGTGAATTGATAAGACAAATATGTGAACAACCACCGTTATTTTTTTCACAAGGATTCTTCGTACCTCGTGGTTGACGTGATCTGATGAAAGTTAAAAAAGTTGAGAAGAGAGAAGAAATTCAAAATTACTAACAAATTAATTCGCTTAGTCTTTTGATACAAACGAATTTAGTCACTTAACGAATAAATACATCGATTAAAAGCAATAGCCTTGATATCAACAGAATTTTTTTTCATGCTGAATAAACGGTTTAATAAATGCAGGCTTCGATTATTAAATGAACATAACGAGTGAACTTGACTTCCAGTTAAGATTTTACGTGTGAAAACTAATGAATAAAGAATGTGTGTGCATTCACCTATGAATGATCTTCACGTCGAATGGTTGCATAGAAGTACCCTCAACAATTCTTATTGAACTACCATTCCATTTGTTCGCCTAAAATTAAATGCTGCGCGAATGGAAGAACGATAAACAAATGAAAACTTTCTACAACAATGTGCATTGGGAACGAAATTAAATTTTGCATTAGAATAATTATAAAACAAATGAATATGAAAGAAAAGGAGAATACACAAAATTTTGATGATTTCAGAAGAAATTAAACACAGAAAGGGTTTTAATCTGATGACAAAATTTATTGGCGAGAGGATGAACAAAATAGAAAAAATTCACATTTTTATATATCAAGACACATATTTCATTTAAAAAAAAATTAAGAGAACTAACTCGAATAATAGCAGTTACCCTCCAATCTGACCAGTAAACATGACTAGCAAATACTGTGATAGCAAACGGATGTGCGAGATGCGCGTTATCACGAACAATCTCATGATGATCATTTCCATCATACGTTATCGTATGAATACTATCCGACCTATAATGTGCGGGTGATTGTATTTAATGTTCATAACAGATATTGTGCTTTTCGAAACATTATCATGAGACAAACATAAATGTTACTGCTATCGGTTTTGGAAAGTGACATTAAATTGCACAGCTATTTTGATGTTCCATTAAATATAGCGAATTGAAGAAGATTTACATTTATGAAGATTTTCATTGAAATGTAAGACTCACTTTGCATCAATCCAATATAATCGCTCCACAGAAAAGTCGCAAGTTAGTCCGTTCGGCCAGCCACCATTAACAATTTCAAGAACTCGAAAAAGTACTGTCCTATTATTACCAGCCATTGTCGCTCGTTCAATACGGGGATTCAACTCTTCCCAATCCGTCCAAAACATTAAACCTTTGCTGAATCACAGAATTCATTGTGTTCGTTCATTTGCAACGAAATACTCTTCAACTATCTCAATCTATTTCAGCAAATATATTTTAAGTGAAATGATTTCAATAAATAAAAAGTAAAATGAAACTGATGACGAAAGTATAATAAACGATGTTGCAAACCTGGGATCAAGTGCTAGCGCACGTAAATTTTTCATATTACCACGAAGAATCGTTGCTCTTGCGGTACCGTTAAAGTTTGATACCTATTAAAAGAAAATAAGCATTACGTATAGCCTAAAAACAGCGGTGCTATTAGTATTTCATATCTAAAAAAATAGATGCATGGAAATATACAAACTACATATAACCTAGTAAAACATCTTCAAAAAATTTGCAATTAGGCTCTTGAACCCAACTACCGCCTCTTTTTTCTGAATGAAAAATCGCTCACCACGATGCTTGGAATTCATCTTTCTAACTCATCCTACATCTACATCTACTGCGTTAAACTACTCTGATTCCTTCTCGTTTCTTTACATGTTGAATAACAACTGAATGCGATCACCATAAACGCTATACTTTCACATTAATGAAACGAACAAACATACTTCAATTTGGTCCAGCCAACTGTCAACCCAATATACATTCATTCCAAGCCAATCAACCGCAAGACCTTCAGCAGTCCATATACCATACGATACTATCGGTTTAATTTCCGTTAGAACTGAATATTTTCAAGATAATTCATTTAGATCAATTCGCAAGGACGGAACAAAGTGCGAGATCGCCTTGTTAATCAAGAGATTTTTCAAAATTCGTTCCTGTACTTAACGATGCATGGACGCAAATAATGATACTTTCATACGAAGCTAAGTGCTAAAATCAACTGATCATCTTTTGATAATACGATGAGAAAAATAATGATGAAATACAACAACTCATACGTTGTCCTTGTAGTTTTCCTCGATAAATGATATCAGCAGCAATATCAGTCCAAAACAGCCAAATATCACCATTTCTGTCGAAATAATAATCGATTGCAATGCTGTTACGCAAATTTGTTACGAGAGGCACCGAAGAAGTGTCCGAGTGGAGTGTTGCAAGGCGAATTTCATGCCGATTCGAATAAATCATTCTCGGAAGCACAGGATCTAGAACAAGGATGATCACAACAATACGACACATCATAAATCTTACATTTTATTGAATCTTAGTCTAGATCTTGAATATGATTTCAGTAGAATCAATTACAACATAATCATACCTGTGCTCTCACATGTGAATTTATCGTCCAACAGATCAAATCCAGGCTCACAATGGCAATACTTTGTGCTTCCTTGCGCCCAACACAGTTGACTGCACGCGCCAAAACTACATGGATCCTTTTCTTAATAAATTTTAAGTGCAATATTAAATCAACCTTCATATTCATTTCTGGAAGGAATTCTCAAATGTTGAAACAAATATAAACCAAAATTAAGGGAACATATTCAAAGTTGTGGAAAAATGAATCATAATATAATATTCAAAAAATTACTTATGCATTTTCGACTGTCATTAGCCAGCACATAACCTTCGCGACAAGCGCAAATATACCCACTTGGTCGCTCATAACACAGCTGTTCACATACTGAATTTGAGCACATTCTGGAGATATTATTATCGTTATTATTATTATCATTATTGTTATTGTTACTGTCATCATTATTGTTTTATGAAGAGCGCACGAGATGCTGGTTGTGAATGTAATAAAACAAAACGACCTTTGATCGCAGAGGAACCCTTCATCATCACCCATTGGACAGTCAACAATTTGATCGCAAACTGCATCTGCTGGTAAACATGTATTGTGGGGGTCATTTGAACACAGAAAATACGGCGGTAGACAACGCTCTGCATTTGCCACTCTTCGGGGTGCTAAAATCTATTATGATTGCAACAATAATAATAATTACAGCAAATTATTGTGCTGCTATCATTAGAATGTGGAACAGTAGCATTACGATTAGCATATGAAGACAAATTTTTGCGCTATTTTCTCATGAAGACAGCTTTCTATGAATATCGAACAATCATTTAGAATATAAAGTAAAGTCGAATGCGGAAAAATGAACTTCAGCGATATTTCACGAGCAGTTTAATAATTATGTTGGGTTAATAATATATCACATGAAAAACAAGCAATGAATCTACATAAATATTCAATAATACGTTTAAACATTTTAGAAACAAAACAAACGAACCGCAATCTCTTTCGTCAGATCCATCATCACAATCACGATGACCATCACAACGAAATTTCTTGGGAATGCATCGACTTTCATCAGCACACATATATTCAGTTGTTGTTATGCAGGTAAGATTGCCTGTCAAATAATTTTTGAATTTTATGAAACATTAAACGGTCTTACAACATTCATTTTTCTTCCGACTCTTCGGTCCTTCTTTGTGGGAGATTAAGACTATCGATAACGATATGAGAGGATAAGATAAGATCACCACAATGCTTTTCATCTGAACCATCGTAGCAATCGCGTTGACCATCGCAAACAAATGACTTCCGAATACAGTCATCCGATCCGATGCATTTGAACTGATTCACGGACGGGCATTCATGATGCTTCGGGGGTTCAGCTGAATGATACACAACATAATTATCAACTATTTCTGAGGGAGGAATGCAATGCTTGATGCAAATAAGAAAACATACGACATGTTTCATTGCTTTCGTCAAACCCATTGTCGCAATCAGTCACTCCATCGCAAAGCAGAATTGTACTCAAACACGGCAATCCTGGACCACAACGAAACTCAAGTCCTGGTAAGCAACCCTGAATTTCGATACTCTTGAAGGTTATTCCACTGAGTGTGCACAGTATAATCATGGTTACTACTTCTTTACATCTTCCAATCAACCTTGCAATATAAAGTGGAACAAATAATATCTTTACTGTACTACCGTTTTAAATTGACCACTTTTGGCATGTAAACGTTGTAGTCAACAGCAATTTGCGGACTAACACTATTTCAATCAAATGCACTCGTTCGAACAATGAAAGAATAAAGTCAACTTTAGAATGATAGAATTATACCGACTTTAGTTTATCAAAATACAACTAAAATATGAAAAGTGGGATGAGTCAATGTGTTTCGATGGTAAACTAATGATATTCGAATGGTAAATAGGATAACCTGATGACAATGCCGTTCATCAGATCCATCACGGCAATCTGCGGCACCATCGCAAACATACGACATACTGATACATTTGCCAGTCAGACATCGATACTGTCCCAGACTGCATTCATTCTCCTCGATTCCTTCTGTAACTGTTTCCTTTCACACACTCGTGCTTTATCAAATTAAGATGCTTACATTCTCATTTCTCGAATAAATTCGTCATATTCTTCTTTTGATTTTGCTTGCACCCCACAAACAGCAAAAAAAATCCTTGTATTACTCTTGCATAATCATTTCAGAAAACGTGTCCGAATAATATGTGAATTGCTCAGTTGCTCAATAGCTGTATCAGTTACGGGCGAATAAGAATCATCTATGAAAACAATTTGATAAAATGATTTCCAATCAATGCACGAAGTTCACAATTTGATCATTTTTAAGAATGAAATTCGTTAAAAAATTAGACCATAAATGAATATAAAAAATGAGTTGAATGACATTTTGCATCAACTTGTGATTAATTATAAATTTATAATGAATGACAGAGCGCAATATCCTCACCACACAGTTCCTCATCTGATATATCCCCTTCACCACAATCATATTCACCATCACATCTCATCGATAATGGTAAACACTTCTTTGACTTCTTACATTCAAACCTTTTTCCTCTACATTTTGGCAAACCTGAAAATAGAACATTACTAGAATATATACATTTTTTGTAAACAGGTTATTCAATGATAACTGACGGGAAAATTTCGGTCGCTTTACTTGATCGTTGATGAAGTTTGGAAGAAAAATCATGTATGTATAGAAAATGCTTTGATTACATGCACACCATATAATAGTCGTGAGGATATTCTCTTGAGTTCAATAAATTTTCTTAAGAGAAAAAGTTTGCCCGCTCTCAATGCTAAGCTTTTTTGCTGTGTATCTGTAGAGCTCCCTTCCTGTAGATATTGCCGTTCACCCTTTTCAACTCATCTTTGTACCTCGCAGTTCATGTTGATGAAACGCGAACTATTCTCCGCATTGTACAACTAACCTCGACAACGCTCTTCATCCTCATCATCTAGAGTCGTACAATCAGGATCACCATCACAAACCCAAGCTTGTTCGATACATTGATTCGATTTACATTTGAATTGGCTCGAACTTGCACAGGCGAAATCAGCTGAAGGCAACAGATAACAAGTAATTGCAATATATGTTACTATTTCAGAATGTTTAGAGAAGATTTCATCACGTGGAGATGATATGAAATTATTTGTACAATACACCTTAGTATGGAAATAGATAGAGGGAACGCATAAGAGGTAAGAACAAAAACTTTTACAGGCGATTTCGCTAGATTGTAGCTATTCATTTCGAGTGAAATGCAACTGAAATCGTCAAATACAATCGATTTTGAAAGTGTTGTTTTGTGCTGGAGTGACAGTGAGTTTGGAAATACAATACTATGGTACAGGAGGTTTGGATGGATGAAAACCCCGTCTGAAGAATTTTCCAGATGGTCTTTTTTCTGTTGCAGATGAACGTTTTTGGATGAATACAAAAATACATTAGATCAACGTTTTCCCCTGCATTTTCTTCTGTTACTTCCGGTCGGCTGAAATTACAAATTACTCCACTTGGAGTTCAGATTTGGATTCCCTCACCATGAAGAGATTTCCAAGGTACATTGACGTTAAAATACTTTAGTTAAAAGCCGTAAAAGTTTCGTTTTGTTGAAGAGGAGGAACATCTACTCTAAAGAAAGGTAGATATAACAAGGAATGAATAGATCCGTGATGAGGAGGACTGTGAATTTCCCTTTGCTTTTCTTTGAAAGGGAATCTTATATGACATATAAAGTGTGGCTTTAAGAAATGCATTGAAAGAATGAGATGAAGAATCGGATGACGATGTGAATCAAGTGAGCATTGATTGCTTGTAAAACTGACTTCTCATCCGTCAAGTCGAATGAAGAAAAACAGAAATTTAGATGAAATTCAATGAACGAACTCCTCACCACAAGCTATTTCACCCTCATCTGAACCATCACCACAATCGTCATCTCCATCGCACAAATAACGACGTCCAATACATTTCTTATTGCGTAAACATTCGAATTCTGAATCCAAACATCGAGAACTATTCTTTGGATCACCTTAAATGTTCACTGTCTAAACATTAGCCCAATGCCAATACATCTGAATATAATGATATCAATTTCAAAAGATCTGACCGTGCAAATTTGGTGCCAAAAAATATGCACAATGATGTTCAGTACAATATGCGTTCAGATATTAAAAAGATTTTGTGGAAAAAAAAAGTATTTTTTGAAGGCCATCAAAACAAATGTTTTTATCATTTAGTGGATCGGTTTGAAGAATGGAACAGAATATGATGAACGCACTGATGCATTTGGTTTTATCATTCGGATCTATATGAAAGCCATCAGCACAAGCACACTTCACTTGTTCACATCCAATCGTACCTCTACAGGCAAATGCAAAACAAAATTGCTCACAACCACCATTCAGTTTGGAACATGCCGTTGTCTCTATAAATTGTAAAATTAATTTAAGTTTGATTGCAGCATGCATGATTGATTACCATCGCTATTATTACGAAAAGAAAACGTTTAAAGAAAAAGAATGAGATCCATTCAATTTATCGATGTCAATTAGAATGAAGATACTCGTGCGAGCGGATCAATAAACGCAAATGAATAGAGCACTGGCATACAACTTCGATATAATGAACATCTTGATAACACAAATTAATTAACGAACCAGTATGTGATTTCGGATCAAAAACGTGCAACTCGAATAATGAAGACTTATCACTGTAAACAATTTGGCTTTTTCCAATAAGACCCTTCTGATCTACTCGAATTCGTTTTATTTCTGAATCCAAAAATTCACTCCAAAACACAAATGGGCCATAGATGGCTAATCCATACGGATGGTTTAATGCAGTTCCATCAATGATTACCTTGAAAAACACACTATCAAAATGCATCATATCTAAGTTTTATAAATACGATTCCAAAATGACATATTCTCGAATAACAAATGAAAAAAAAAGTTATATGTTATAATGTGCAGTACTTGACGATCTGAGCCGTTGAAGTGAATTCTTTCGATTCGATCGTAGTATGCATCACACCAATACAGCCATTCATGCTGTAGATCGATTGCAAGTCCATTCGGCCAATGAATATCATTACTAACAACAACCTTTCGCTCTGAACCATCCAATTTGGTTCGTTCAATTTTAGCACCAGCTCCTCGACCCCTTATTGATGGAGCATCCATCCAATCAGCGAAGAACAAATAGCTGAAATTCAAAGTACTTGACATGATGGATCGCACAAAACAATTCTATGATAGCTGCGATAACACTGATGTTCAATGCACTCGAATATATGCATGATGACAACGCCAGAGAATGATTCCCTCGCCTTGTTTGAAAGGGGAAACCGTGATCATACAATGAATGAAGTTAAATTAAGATCCGCAAATAAACGGGACGAATTGATTTGGAACTGTGATCGATCAGTACTAATTTGAGCANCAATGAATTGAATTGAATACTATTAATAAACTAATAGTGAGCATACGCCTTTAGTGGATTCACGACCATTCCGCGTGGATTTGAAACATTCCCTTCAACGATAACTTTTAACAGATTCGGTTTTTGCATATTCACAACTGTTATACGACGATGACCTCGATCCGAAATATACATATTGCCACTCGCCCAATCAATTGCAAGCCCTTCACAGTCACTTATACCTTAAAATGACCATAAGCTGCACTTGAGATATGCAATGCAATATGATTTCAGAACGCTATAGAAGTAACATTTATGGAAATAATATAAAACGACAGGAAAGGAAGTTTAAAAAAAAGTATGGGATACGAGTCAGTTTTTGAAGTCATGTCACTGAAATAATCTGATATGGGTTGCTGCCTCTTCCGTAAAGGAAACAGAGCTGAGGTGTTCCTCGCGTTCAGGTTGAAGCTTCACTCGCAAATGACGCTCCATAATGAAGGTAGCATCACTAGTTGGATTTGGATTCGCATAATTACTATCTATTTGACAGGCTTCCTCTTTTCACTATTCGAGGAGGTTACAGAGTCACCTGCACGGACTCTACGGGCGTGGGAGTTTCCTCGAGAATGGAGTCCTCTGCGAAGGGTACCCCTGTGACAAGCCCCTGCAGGGTTCCGGTACGGGAACTCGCAAATGCGCCTATGAAGAGGGAGACTTGTTCAAATTTCAAATATTTGGCATAGCCTTAGGATCTCGAAGCATTAACAGCTATTTCAGTGAGATGAGAGCTAACTATAGGCTTAATTCCTATTTATTAGAAGATGTAAGAAATTTTGAGTGAAGAAGAATTAACAGGGATTTCGAGGGAACTGAATTTTTCGATGTCGCTCAGACATGAAATAACTCTTAATATCAGCAACGAAAGCAACCAACCGCTATCGATGAACATTTCGATATCCGTTCCGAACATTTGACGTTTATTTATTGTGAAATTAGACGTATCACTGAAGTAAATTGCTTTGTTGTGAACATCAACTGCTAACGCTGTTAAACGCTTTATTTTACGTATTGGACGCATACCTTCAATTAATTGCATATCATTTCGCATCTTTTTCAAACTGATGATCCCATCATCACTGATCAACAACTCAAACGAACTAATCAACATATAACAACTATGATATGACGCAACTTTTATAGACTCGTTCACATCATGCAAGAAACATAATCTGGATTATTTCTGATATACTGATCCATGCAGTGCGTTTCTCACCAGTTTCCTATCGTAACCATCGTTCAAAAAACGAAGACCGATGTAACAATAACATGCGATTCTTGAGTTGCAATTATCAAAAAAATTCTTTCGAAGATTAGCGATTATTCAAATTTGATTATCAAGAACCTACCAACAGCCTTCACCAAGGATGCATTGTACTGATTCATCGCCTCTTTGGTGGGCGGAAATGAATGTTCCTCAGATGTTATTGAGGCGATCGACAACGCAGCAATACTACCCGGTCGTGTACGTCCAAAAATGAGCGATGGCTGATCACTTGAAATACAGGATGATTACCATCATTACATTACTAACGCTCTTCCACAATTCAATCGCAAATTCTTTTATAGAGTCATAATCACTGGTAGTCACTTCAAGCAAAAACGTTCTCACCGATTCCATCATTTTGACTGATCAATTCTAAAACGCCAAGTATCACGAATAAATGGAATCGCTGTTCGTTACCACGCTACTATTCAGTCAAATGATTGAAATAGATCAATAACCTCTTAACGGCATCATCACACCTTTTACCGTCAACCAGACGATTACCCTCTTCACAAACACATTTAGCTACACCTCTTGTGATGTTCCGAGACTGTTCTGAATCCCAGGATAATTCGTACGAAACCAAACACAAATGTTCACAATCACCGTTATTCTGCGTGCATGGATGTGCTGCTGAAGACAATTAAATACACAATCACTTGGATGGAGCATCAGCTATATAAACCATGATAATAACTAGATGCATTCAAATATAGCACATATCGTGAACACTTCTCATTTTGAAAACAATGAATCGAACGCAATGATTTGAATAATAAACGCAAAACGCACTATATGGTTGACTGGACCTATGAAAGAGAAGAATATTTTCAATTTTTGACAATCCAGGACTATCGCTGAAGAGTTGAGGCGTTTGCTCCAAGCCAGTGAGTACATCGAATTGCATCAATGACTGAGTACTGGATGCAGCATAAAGTGAACGCTCAAAATGGAACAATCCCACGATATTTTTAACCTTAAGAAATAATAATACAAAAATTACGCACTCAAATGATTGAGCAGCTCTCATCTGAATTAAAAATTTCTACAAAATACGATTCAAAAAGATTACTCAAAATCGCTCGGAACTTACCTTTTTTAGATATGGTAAGATAGATTTTAAAATATGCATCAAACAAATCAAAGCATTCCACACTATCTATCATTTTTCGAGATCATTACTGCCATAGAACAATGTAATGTTAATGAAATAAACGACGACAAACCAAACTGCCAGCTGCCAATTCGCGTTTTTTGAATCTTCCATCGTAGTCAATGGCACTCAAATATTCCAGGTATTCGTCTGCCCAATACACCGTCCTTGAGAAAGGGTCAACCACAACACCTTCAAACATATTTATCAAATTCATCCATAGTAAGATAAAGTTGACTTTTGATAATGCGTTATTTTATCACATTTATCACATGAACAGTATTCATATTGATTCATTGCTTTTTCTGAACCCGAACTGTGAATACCTGACTGCTTGAACAAGAGTGAGCTTTAAAATAAGTGATAGTATGAGAAATAATGCGACACGACGTTTTCTCGTCGCCCATTCAAACGTAGACTTAGGTATAGATACCCAGACTTTTGAAATCTTTCACCCTGAGCTTTTTGATTCCATTCAAAAGGCTCCTTAAACACTACAACAATCATGGGAAAAATTTTGCGTGAGTGAAAGTTGGATATTATGTAGTTTTGTTACCGGCTAAGACATAAAAGTTCTTTTGCGGATAACGATCTTACCGAGCGGATATATAATTCGGCTATCAACAAGAGAGATCAACTGACTACCATCGAGGTTGATCCGCCATAAGCCACTTCCTGAGCCGAAATCCGTAATGAACGCATAACTGCAAGCAATCGTACAGACACAGTTCAACTGATCTGACTGCCAACCACGGGGTGCCAGAGAACATTTCATTATTTATAGAACAAAGTTACCCTCTTTAATATTCAAGATATTTCAGGTTTTAAAAAAAACAAATACTTTATTGCTCAGCACAGTAGTCCTATTCAAGTGTGATGTGGAAATTGGGGAATTTCAGGGGCCCCGTCCCCGAATGCCCGTTCCCGACTTCTTTCGAGCCGACTGCATTTTCGGGGTCCCAGACTGGAAAATTTCGTCCCCGATTGTCCCCGTCCCAAACTTTTCCAGAAGCTGCACAGTGATACATAATACTTATAACGATGAACAATAAAACTTTTATTTAAGTGACTCTCTGATCACCTTCCATATTCCTGAGATTCACAGACCAATGATTGAGTGAAGTTCCACAAAAAACAACTTGCGATCTTAATTGAACTTAAGGATATTTCGAGAGGTGCACAGTGACATGCAATATGCCCGCATAGATGAATTTAGTAGAAAACTGCACGAGTAGAGTGTGTATTCTCTTTTGTTTTTTGTCAAGGAAATGTGGTTGCACTCTTTATTTTCTGACGTGGTTGAATAAAATACTGTTGATGGAACTGCATTGTAGCCTCGCAATTATCGCTGTTCTAACCTAATGATTGCTTATTTGAATGCTTTTCCATCAAAAAATACTCTTCTCAATGTCCTGCTGATTCAAGTTCAAAAGTTCCATTTTCGAGGAAATTCGGGGATCGGGGACGAAATCTTCAAAATTCCCCGTTCTCGAATCACCGTCCCTGACTTTTTTTTAAGCTGACCGCATTTTCGGCGTTCCCGACTGCAAAATTCCGTCCACGATTTTTCACGTTCCCTGTTTTTTTCCGTCCGCACACCAGCGATAACTGCGAAGCTACAATGACCTATTCAATATGATCCATTCATAGCGTGCGTCATTACTCATTACGGAAAAACAATATCAACACGTTTAGACTGCCCTCTATTCACTCAATTCCGTGCGTGTCATTAGTTAAAAACAACTACGCGCGCAAGATCACCATTGAATTTTAAACTATTGGCTATGGATTACTTCCATCTGTAATGTCGCTCGAGCCTGCTGAAGCCACTAACGCTACAAATGTGAGTAGTACAATCACGGTTGCATACCTGACGGTCCTGATAGTTACAGACATCCCTGATAAGATTATCGTGATTGATTTCAACGTCCAAATTACAGCTAGGGAAGTCAGTCATCTTTTTTTGCATTAAAAAGAGTAAGATCCCCATGAATTTTGATGCTTTTCGATGATCTTCTTCCTTTTCAATAACACCGGCAAGAGATCTTATTGAATTGCGAATAAATTAAGTTCATAAAACGAGGTTTGAGAGCAAAACTTTAAAGCAACATTGATAATCGTTAATGGACATTTCCAGAGATGAGCAATAGTGCGCTATTTCGTTATTAGTGGAATAGCGGAATAGCAATAGCGTATAGCGCGCTATCGTGTTCAAATAGCGGCATTTTATAAGGAAAATAGCTCATTCATTGTAAAATGGTTTGTCAGTTTGGCTTCAGTTATTTTCTCCAAAACTTCAGAAATTAAGCAGGTTAATAAGGTGGGATGGTAGTTTTGTGGATTCCTTTACAACCTTTTCAGCGTATAAGTTTGATCTTCATCTCAAGACTGAGTTAGGCGATGCGATGCGATAAGATCCAAACAATTCAGAATTTCAGACGAAATGCTCAGCATGCTAATATTCTTAAAGGACAATGAGAAAGTATAGCGTAAGCTGTTGCCAGCTGACTGTTTTTCATCTTTGAATTTTGCTGTCGTCGTTTGGTTATTTTCTCATGGTCCGAGTTTATTGTATTATTAACTGGAGCTCGTCGTTGGAATGAACATTCGAACTGTGATTGGATAAACAAATTTGATCCGTTCGGAAGAGCACAAGTAGAGTGGATTGGAAATTAGTGCTGCGTTACAATGCAAACGTGTACTTAATGTTGAGAACGATATGCATTCAATTGTAGACGAAAAGTTTGTGGAAGTCGCTAAACACGCGGAAAAGTAGCTCGCTTAAGCGCTGACCAAAGATACTAACCGACGCTATCGCTGGAAAATTCCGTTATTTGAACACAATAGCGCGCTATCGCTGAATCGCTGATAGCGGATCAGCGTATAGTACCCTCTCTGATTTTTACAGATTATTAAAAAGAAATAATACGAATAATTTTTTCGGTCGCCTTTACCTTAATTCTCAAATAAACTATTGAAGTAACAGTATGAAGGCAATGAAAAATTTTTCTGCAATGTGGGGCATTGAAAAGGTTAGAAAGTACTCGATTAAAGTGATATCCGAAAAATGTTTAAATTTCAGATGAACTTGAGAGTACTGACAGTGGTTGATTAATAAATTTTTATAAAACAGCATCGAATGAAAATAATGGCGATCTGATAGGAAATCATTCAATTGCCAATTACAGTCCACTTTCAAATTCACTTTCTAGTGACCTTGAAGCTTTGACCAATGGCGTTAACAGTAACGATACTTAGGTAACGATGTGAAGAAATAGAAGTGTAGTTTGGAGAAATTATTTGAAAAAAAAATCGAATAATTTCAGTCAAACTGATGAGTTTCTGTTGAATTCTATTCAATTGATCAATGAACAAATTAGGATGCTTCTAGATAGATTGAGGAGCATAGTGTATCATTTCGGCTTCTAGATAGATTGAGGAGCATAGTGTATCATTTCGTTAGTCCCTCTTCATCATTTCTGGAGATAATCATTTTTATCCTCNGGAGCATAGTGTATCATTTCGGCTTCTAGATAGATTGAGGAGCATAGTGTATCATTTCGGCTTCTAGATAGATTGAGGAGCATAGTGTATCATTTCGGCTTCTAGATAGATTGAGGAGCATAGTGTATCATTTCGGCTTCTAGATAGATTGAGGAGCATAGTGTATCATTTCGGCTTCTAGATAGATTGAGGAGCATAGTGTATCATTTCGGCTTCTAGATAGATTGAGGAGCATAGTGTATCATTTCGGCTTCTAGATAGATTGAGGAGCATAGTGTATCATTTCGGCTTCTAGATAGATTGAGGAGCATAGTGTATCATTTCGGCTTCTAGGTAGATTGAGGAGCATAGTGTATCATTTCGGCTTCTAGATAGATTGAGGAGCATAGTGTATCATTTCGTTAGTCCCTCTTCATCATTTCTGGAGATAATCATTTTTATCCTCATTTTCATTCACTGAATGAAAGAATCGCTTTCTTTCCGTACACTTTCAGAATGCATTAAATTTTGTTAGGAAAGAATATCGATTATAAAACATTTCCTCGCTTTGATTCAACGACGCGAATAGATAGAATGCACTCACTCGCTTGTAAGTTAAAGGGAAGAATAGAAGAAAGACAAATGAAATTGAATACGGAACATGATATGGTAGCATTAATGTCAATCACTGATAGATACAATGATACACCAGTACTGTAAGTCTTGGAGTGAATATCAACCGTCGTAACTGTTTATCATAATGAAACAACATTCGAATAGGTAATTAGATACAAGCCGAATCATAGCCTGCCACAGGCTCGATAATATCAGAGATATTGATGTGATTAAGATTACGGATAGATCAATTCTTTTCGATTGTAACGTTGTACGCTTATCAGGTCAGTTTTGTTTCATGTGCATGAAAAAACTTTGCAAGAGGACTGATAAAGGTAGGTGTTCATTAAAAGATGCACAAAGTATGGGTGATAGAAGCGTTTATGAATTGAAAAAATTCTTCGGAACCCTCATTCCTATCGGTTTCTACAAGTCGAAATGATATAACTAAGGGGTGACAGCGATTGTTGCACAATTTTCAACATATTGTTTCCAAACAATACTGCAATTCGACGATGAGGAAACGAGGCGATGGAATGGTCAAATAATTTGCAGTCAAATAGGAACATATTAGAGCTTGAGAGGAACTAAAAGCGATGTTCCGTACGTCCAACAGTAAACACAGGCCATCAAACATACAGGGTCACTAGTGTCAAAAAAAAACGCTCTCGCTGAACACAACGTTACTACAGATCGAAAATGCATGCGGCAATTTTAAAAATGTTCCAGTAATACAATTCGGGAAGATTGTTAATGATTTTATTGCGTACGCTCTCAAAATTTTTATGGTTTTGTTGCTATTGCTTTCTGTTTCCTTTTTAAAGTTGGGCTTTGATTTTTTAGTTGTGAATAAGTATACATAGTGAAAATGCTTTGTTACAGCTTTGCATTCGTTTAATTTGCTCATACTGCCACAGTTATTTGTTCCGAGCGACTTCTGAAACGTTTAGATGAGTTATTTAGAGTTATTTAGATGAGTTATCTCAAACGTTTATACGTTTAGATGAGTTATTACAACAGTTACCTGTCATTGTTGTTTTTCAGGTTTACAAATGTCTTCATTTCGATAGAGTTGTGGCTTCTGGCTGTTGCAAAACTTTCGCGCGAGGAGAAATGCAAGAAATTTTTTCGGAGAAATAATTCTCCCGATTTTTTTCGATTAAGGCTAAGAAATGAGTAAAGCCGCAAAACCTCTGTTCTTCGCCATCAACACTCAGAAAATAACGACGGATTAATTACTCTCATCGCAACTATCTGGACGAATGGTCGTGCGAGAGAGCATATTATGGATGAAAGAATAAAAAAATGCCTTCACAAGTGAAGAGAATATGCACAAAGTGGTTGCAGGGATGACGAGAAAATGAAAATAACCACATGCGGCAATTAACAATCCAGTGAAATAGAATGGCACGACAGCATATTACAGATTGAACATTCAAAAGACGATTATTATTGTGATGATGCGTTAAGTTGTGCAGATGAATTTTTGATAAAAATAAAATAAATCTGATACAAATTTTACAGATGATAGTTTAATGGTCACTGATGAGCATGAATATGAGAAACAATTTGGAAATATACTGCCCTAAAGGTAAATGAAATGCCCCAGCTGTCACACATGAAGATGCGTATATCGACTTGTATCAAACCCAATGATCTTCAAGTGACAGAATGAATGAACCAATGGAGGAGTAACAAAAAACTGTCTGGATAAACGAATCTAAAAAAACATACCCAGCTGCAGAATCGACTGCAATTGATGACGGCTTCACAATTTTTCCGCTGTTCAACGTAATGCAACGATCAAATTCTGAATTGCACACGAAAATGCTTGAATACAGATTATCAGCCATATACCAATTACGTCCAATCCAATCAAAACACATTGCTTTAACACCTTCAATTTTTTGGTCGAATTTATTGTATTCAATTTACGTGATGAATTTATAGAAAAAGGAAAGGCATCTTTATAGAAAAGGCATTTATAGAAAAAGGCATCTTCCCAAGTCATCACGACATTTTTACAATCAGTGATTAAACATATCAGCGATAATCAGTGATGCCGAATTTGAAAAAATTCACTCAGTTCCTGCTTCAATTCTCCTTTTTGAACATTCGGCTCCGACTTCGGTAACACACTTTTCAAAATTTAGACTCCGGCCTGACTTTACATTCTTGAAATTCCGATTATGCATTTTTCAGAGTCCCTCTCTGATTACGCGTTTTCAAAATTTTGACTCTATCTTGGTACCGCATTTTTCAAAATTTCAGCTCTGGCTCCGAAAAAAAAAATATCGTGCCGGTCTAATCTCTGGCAACTAAATGCCACAGTGATTTCTTGTATTTCAGGAAGTCAAAGGAATTTTTTTAGCTCCGGAGCTGGGGTAACATTGGTGATAATGATTATCATTTTATTGCGTTCGTGAATGCAGTTTATCAGAATCGAAAAATCGACAAAGACAAACAAACAGTAAATGTGAGAAAGACTGAGTCTGAAATGAACAAACATTACCCTCAACAGTGAATGCAGCTTCAATACTACGGATTGGCTGTGTAAACTTTCCATTGCTATCAATATTAATGCAGGAAACCCCATCTAACATATTCACTGCTCGCGAAGTTACCTTAATTCAATGTCAGTAAGTTAGTAAATACTAGACTGATTAATTTATGGAATATCGTTGAATAATACCTAAAGGCGTCGAATAATCTATACCAAGAATAATAATAGTTAATAATAGAATAATTGATACCCAACAAAGGCGTCGTTTCTTTATATCAACAGCCATTGTCTGCAGATCAGATACTGCAATGCTGTCAAGAGCCACACCCTTCAAGTCGTCAAGTTTTTTGTGCACAATTTGATGCTTTCCATATAAAAGTACTGATGGATCAGTGTAAGATGAATGTGCTGAAAAAAAAATGTTCTGATATTCATTTTCATCGATCAGTAATATTCATATTCATCACATTGATTTTATTTCATAAATGTAACTAAAAATTCCAGATGAAATTATTACACCAGCGAAAGTGGATGACATACCATGCATAAACTATTGAAGAATTCATATGAGTTATTAAAATGAATTGAGAAATAAACAAACTTTTCGAGAAACGGCACCACGTATTGTTTACAAGTTCAAACTCAGCTAAACATGCACATCGGAACCTTTCATCTCCAGCGCGTTTCGCAATTAAATTCACGCAAATCTGAGCACACACTGGAACACCACCTGGAATATTGTGTTTCTTGATGTAATACGCCACAACCAACTACAGTTCATCAATTCATCGTTTTGCACAATTCGTAAGCATTAAACTCTCGGGTGGTACACCCATCCAATTCAAACTCATTTTATTTGCCGAACAGAATAAGAAATGTAAAAAACTGTATCTACCGAATTCCACACGTGCACACTCATCTTCATCTTCACATTCGCTCCCTCGAGCCTGCTGACCAACTGGGCAATAGCACTGCAAGCCTCTCTCGAGTGTCATTGAACCACCATATTTACAAGCGATATCATTTGCTGATGGAGGCACACCTGAATAACAACTTTCATTTTGGTTCTTTGAAAAGAGAACTGGATTATACTCAAGTTCCATCATTTCAATGCGACACTATACGCAACTAACGAGGCGTTGTGTCTGTCACATGCAATGCAATTCTCTTTTAACGCTACCGATCGAGTGACATTTTCTACAAATGAAACAGTTGTGAAGAAATGAAGTAAAAATGAAGAGGTCACTTCTAAAAAAAGGTGATAAAATTCAAATGCGTACCGCATTTCGCATGTTCATCAGATCCGTCGGCGCAGTCGCGATAACCATTACAAAATTTCGATAAATGCACGCACTGTCCTCCAGAAGCACACATATGTTCACCGGCTGGGCACACCCGAGTTGTATTACCTTAATTTAAAACAACTGATATCGACGAGTGACTTAATCTTAATTCTGAGATCTCAGAATCACCTTGATGATAGAGTTGAGTTTGTTCAAGAGTTATGTTATTTACATATCAACTCGAATGTCATTATTTTAGACTGCTACACTTCCAGACAACGGTTTAAATAGAGCAAGTGAATAAATGAACATGAATAATGATATAGCAATAATGCAGGCGAGACCTTTCGGCGTCACAGCGTTATCAGCAGTCAGTAACAGTAATTTTATTCGTATTCATTCATTGAAACATTTCATTTATTCAAAAATCGTTGTTCATTCAAAAATGTGCATCAAAACGCAATTTCCTCATTCATTTCTAGACAATTCATTCAATTGATCAGCTTCTCCCAAGTAAACTTTTTCACATTTCGATATGATCGCTCTCAAACCTCTGATTAACTAAAACTTTCAGTTGTTGTTCCTTTCTCTTCATATCAATAAATCAAGCTGAATTCTCATTCTATTGCATATCCTGTTGAATCGATCGCTCGACTACCACTGATGGTGATTAACTGATCAGACTTTTCAAACTGATCTCTCCCATCGTCAAATTTAGCATTCACGATCATCGAATTTCGATGCATGGTTTTCAAATGATTCTGATCATATTCTACCGCAAGATTATGTCAGATTACTTGATCGGCACGGTTTAAGTCATTCGGCAACAAATAGTAAAAACCCACAAACAGTAGGATCTTCGTCGCTGGTATCCAATAAACCGTCGTCATTAACGCCACAATCAAATTCCAAATCGCATTTATACCTCAGTGGAAGACAGCGTCCAGTCAAAGAACATCTCATATGTCCTTCGTTACACGTATGTGGTGCTGCAATTTCTAACGCTCCATTAGTATATTTATCTGTGATTGACGACTATTTGGTATGGCAAATTTATATTTCGATGGTGAGCAGAAATGAATTCAATACAATGAATGATGCATCAAAATGTTTTAAACGAACGACAATCAGAAGATTCGTCTGAATGATCATCGCAATCAAAATCTCCGTCGCAGACATACTTTTGCGGAATACATTTACCATCATGGCAAGAATGCTGTCCAACTGAGCAATTGGTCACTGCAATCAACTTTTACTTACTATGGATAATTACTGCAAGAAACACGAAACTGTACACTAATTTTCATCTTTCCACTACCCATCTATGCTAACTGTGAAAGATACTCTAACATGGACATTCCAGAAAATGTTTTCGTTAGCGATTTTCAAAGAGTATAAAATAGAAATTGCTGAAGAATAGGAGGTAATTCTACTGAGAACAAATTTATGAATGACTTACGAGTAGCATTTGCATGCTCTGTCCGTTGCGTTGTTTCGCTTGTAGACAACTGAGAAATGAGTATCAAATAGAAGAATATGAAAGAGGAGCATCCGAATGAATTGTTCATATTGTTTGAAGAATGATAGTGAAGCAGATTGTGAACAGTAGATTCACTGGATGATAAAATAATGGCGTTTAGGTGGTTAGCGAATATTTAAAAAATGATTTAACGACGCAATAAATGAGGTGCGATTATAGAATATGCACCTCACAAAAATGATTAATTGAATTAGTGGTATTATCAGAGCCAAGTTCCTGGAATAACTCTTACTTCAATCGCTTTTACCAGATATACAAATGAAACGACCAACGCACTATCAATTTAATGAATTCAACACAGAACTGAAGTGATAATTTGATGATCCCATAGAATTCAGCTTTAGTTATTCCATTCAGCTCTTGCGTTTACACTGCAATCCTTATCGACACAGTGACCAGCTGTAAAGCACAAAAAGTTCACATATATTCCAAATTTGCGCGATTGCTAAATGATAATCGCCATTCCATGAAAATTTTAAGAATAATGTAAAAGTTTTGGGTCATCTCATGACAACTATATAATTGACTGCCAAATGAGGGATTCCTGTTCAAGAAGACCGATACTGTTTTGTCAACGTATACCAGAAAACCCTGATATGATTCACACTTGATGGCCAAAGGTAAAATATGAATACACTGAAGGCCTAAACTTGTCATCTATCACTCCCTCGCAGAATGTGAAAGCCATAAATAGAAAAATTTTGCTGCGCACGGATCGGATTTTCAGAGGTGGTCACGACTAACCGTTTTATGGAGAGGAGAACAGATGCATTATTTTGCAATAAGAAAATCACTTCAGGTACAAACCGGAATGTAAATTTTATTATGACTGCTTCACCCTGCTAATATTCATATACAAAAACATCATGTTAATGGTGAGAGCTCACTAAATACGGCACACTTTAGTTCATGCTTTTGAATCGCTCATAATTATATGAACATATGATGAACGAATCAGTTATCTTTAAAAAATAGAAGTTTAGAGGTTCAAATAAATTCTGGAAAGATGGTATTTGCTAGCCATAAAACAAAAGAATACTATCTTAATTGTGGAACTTCACAGTTGTCTCATAAATGACAATCGGAGACTGTGGTTTCATCTTCTCAAAACTGATCGATAGTTATCTTAGACTGGCAACCATTTCTATTATATTGCCTGAACTGAGTTTCTGTGAACCCATTAGTGCCCAGTGGGTACTATTCATTCCAATGTGAAAAACGTGGTTTCTTTGCTCACTGACACTTCCTTCATAACAATCTCCCACCTCACCGTATGTGATAAACGCTTAGCAGTTGAACTGGTATTGTATGCGTTTGCTTTAAAACTCAGAAGCTGTTCAAAGAAGCAGATTTCAGATGAATTTTATTATTTACATGAAAACGGAAAATTAAATTACCACTTTTCATGATATAAATTTTTTCCTTTTCTTGCAAATCCAATCCTCCTGATGATTGATTTTATATTTCATCTTTACATGTCAGAATTGTGGGCATTTGTTGGTGGAATTTTTATACTTTTTGGAGGTGGTATAACTGTTCTTGAAACTCTCATTACTGGAAATTTCCTTTTTTGTTGTTCTTTTCTCATTCTTCAAATCAACAACGGAAATTGGTTGCTCACTCCATTATACATTCTTTCAAATTACCGCTGGTGATCAGCAGTAGATCAAATTTATTGATCTATTGCTGTTTTGCCGCATTTTCAATTGTGGTACTCACGATAAAACTCTAAAAGCACAGACTTCCACTCAACGGTTTTGTTGTGCTCTTTATGTGTTCGTTACGAAATATTATATCCCAACTGATCAAGTATGCGCATATTACGGCTCGAATATAACACTCTGAAGTTTACTACTCTGAAACTTTTGAGGAAGACTATCGGGAATATATCCGTTTTTATTTGATAACCGAGATCATCTTTCACTAGTGAATAAAACAACATTTTGATTAAATACTTGCGCTGCTTCAATAGTGGCTTTCGATGGTCTTCACATTCATTTTATTGCATAAAAATGATGAGCGCAAAAATATTAATTTTTATGATAAGTTTCGTTTCAAAAAAGCTTGGGAAATTGGTATTGGTGTATTGCAGAAAAACGAATAAAGTGATGAGTGAATGAAAGAATAATAAATATCGACGAATGAAGTGAAATGTACAGTTTAAGATGTGCTCGATGAAGCGTTAATACCAACTGAATTACGGATCACTGTTATTCGTGAAGAGCGATTTATAGAAAAAAACGAACAGTTGTTAGATGAATGATGACAAAAAAAACAAAACGAACAATTGAAAATTGAAAAATTGAGAACGTACACATTATTAAACGGAGTTATAACGGGGTGCAACATTTATTATAACTTTAGTAGTGGAATAACTAAAGATATAGTAGCCGTCGAATAAGAACTAGTTTAGGTTCATTCGGTCATTTCAAAATTATTGCTTATTTCATTGCTGCTTTCTTGTTGTGGTTGTTTATTCGTATTTAAAAAATGAAAATAAACACACATCCCTTCATAAGTGATCATTGATGATAAAGTTTTTATCAGGTACCACTGCTGGATTGATGTGTTAATCATTAGAATGGGCTATTTTTAAACAGACTTCTAAATTCAGTTCATACGATGATCGATTTAAATGGCACAAATACAAACACAATTATTTTTGATGATTAGCGAATATATTTTTGCACACTAAATGGTATTGGTAAGTTAAATCGCATAGCTGTAAATACAATGATGATAATAAAAACAACAATAATGACTATGGCAATAAGAGTGATCATAATTGAATGAACAACTTAGTCCAACTGATAAGCACATACGCATAAACATTATTTCATAATTATTGGCATTCCTTGGAGCAGGCAGCTAAAAACTGAAGACGATCATAAAACAAATGAAAATTTTCATTATATACGAAAAACGTGATCAATATCCAAATTTAAGGGATCGGCTGATCAAAACGGCTCAGCAACAGACAACTAAACCAATGCTTCTTCATTCACCTGAGGCTTCATCGTTATTGCTATCAAAATTAGTCAGTTGCGCTAATGAAGTGAAACGAATATACCAAAACTAATTTTTTGCACATTATGCATAACAATAAATAGAGAGTAAGGGTAATGCAGATAAAATGAATAGATAAGATGAAGACGAGAATAACTATGTGGTTTATACGCAGCGCATGCACAAAAGGCGTGTGTCCCATGAATGAAATGCTGAAATGGCACATTATAAGAGTGCATGAATAATAAACGGGCCTGAGGCAGCAATAGCATTAGCCGACTACATAGATAATGGAGAATTACAGATAAACAGAGGGATTGCTACATTCATGTTGAATATACCATTCATCATGCCTACAAAGCTTGAAGAATTGCATTTGATTGGCCCAGTTGATGATGATGATTAAGGAAATAATTCTGAGATGAGATGAGATGAGATGAGATGGATATGATTGGATGTAATGTGTTGTGATGCGATGTGATGTGATGTGATGTGAGCACAAATGGTCTTTCTTAACGAATCGTCAAATCGATGAACTTGACTTGCAAATTAATAGATAGACGACACTGAAGGAGCAATAAAGCTTTTTTATGTTCCTAATTATAACTTTATGATGTTATCGTGAATAAATTTGATCGCTTCGATTAATGAAACTTCTTCATTACGTTATCTGTGGCATTTCAAAAGTTTCTTTGATGAGTAGGAATCCAGGCTGTAAAGCAGTTAAAGCAACGATAAATGCGAACGTAAATTTATGTGAAGAATAGCGAAACGACGTGAATACAAATCGAATCGAAGAAGAAGATGGCTTTAGTTAAATTGAATTTCTATCGAAAGTGAACTGAACTGATCAGTTACTGCGCTCTACTAATTTGAGTATAAACTGTGCGAAGAATGCACTGCTACCTATAGCTGTTAGTGTTGTGTGTGTCCGAGGGCTGCAGAGCAAAGTTGTTCATTTCTGAAATAATTCTTGAAAGTGAACATTCTATTCGAGGAAAGAAGACAAGCTTTGCACTGTTCCTATCATATCTAAAAAATACACTCATGAAATACTGATTAAATGTAAGCATAATTGAATATGTTCGAAATAGTTACAAATGAATGAAACAGATATTATGATGCTACCGCTGTTTGGCAACAGTGAGTTTAAAAAGATGTTACTTTAAAACACAAAGATGAGATGACATAATCAAATTGTGCTAACCATACGAAGTGGTGATGATATGAAGAAAGTGAATGCTATTCATCGAATAATTGACTAAGAATAAGCATATTATTAATTTATCTAGAGTATGATACCAAAAGAACGTGTGGTGATCGATGCAGCAATCAGCTAGTATACAAGCAACCAACAACATATGCAATTACTGAGAACGACAGCTGTTCGATCCACTTGCATAATATTCAATCAGTGTTCTCTTTAGACTCTTTAGCTGATGTTCTTAGTTGAAGTGTATTTTGTTTGATTCGATTATAAAAGCAACCGAATCAGAAGTGAGTTTATAGAATGCACTTGAATCAATTAGTGATTCTACTTGAATTAGTTCGGACAAATGACTTGCGGCCTTCAAAATTCAGCATCACTCCTGCCATCCATCACCAATGCATCCATCAAGTTTCATCGTGTCGCATCTCGCTAACCACTTTATCTCATTGGCAATTCATAATTCACTCGTCCTCATCACTTCTCATTCCACTCTCCTTATATTCTCACATCATTTCATCCGCCTCTTATCTAGCTCATGGATTTCCCTCGCATTCTACTATGTCTACATAATGTACTTACCTCGTTCTACAACTAAACTTCTTCACCTCCTACAGAATACTTCATCATTACACTTCATGCAATCTCAGAACAATTCCTTCAATGTAAACCGAGTTGAACACATTCATAATGAAACAAAATTATTGATAAATTTATTCTCACTGTCAACAGGTTTATTGTATCAATGATTACTTCATACTGTATGCTGCTTCAATTAAGTTTATCCATTGGCATTTCAAAACACATCTACTTATGTGTTAACACTGATGATAGTTACAAATTGCTCACACTGAAATGCTAGCAGACTGTTCGAAGGGAATGATAAAGCAATTTTTTTGCTGACAATTTGTTAAGTTTATCGATCTTGTAATGCAAGAACCGAACGATAAGAAAGACTTGATTCACTAATAACAATCATCCATTTTGGAAGTAGCCAGCCAACAGCAGCAACAAACATCGCATTTGTTGCTTTTCAATGAATGCAAGTGTAATCACTTGCTAGATATTGGGTGAGCATTGAAAGAGAATTTCGAAAAAGTTTGATTCGTTTTATTTCAGTTGTTTCGTTTTCACACTGCAACAAAAGTATGCCATTTTATTGAATATCAAAACTACACAAGCCTAGTATGCTTCATCGCCGATGAAACATTTTTTGAATGGATGCTGCTGTGAACGGCATTTAAACGTTCCTCATGCACTATGATCGACTGCATGAGCAATGTTTAAAATCATTCTTCGTACCGCATTCATCTAATCAGTATTAAACATTTCAAATAAAATCTCATCAGCTAAAATATAGCGAACTATTCGTTTCACGTACAATTTGCTACTCAAAATGATAAAAACCAAGTTACTGCTCATCACTTTTGATTCTTCAAAAATTTATACTCATTAAAGTCATGAGAACGAGCAAATTCTCAGCTGCTCCCTCACTATTCTGGACTCGAGAACGAGTTTTCAATTGCTCATGCTCAGTTTTCCGTGACGAGTTTCTCGGTCAGCCTTTAATGGTAGCTAATCGTGTGACGCTCCGCATTAAACGTCTTTGACGGCCATTTTGCTGTGGCCAGCGAAGTGGCCCTCAACACCGCGATTCAATGTATCTATTTAATCAGCAGTTACAGCCCATTACGAGTTTATGCCTCTTTGTTATTATCAACATCACATGATATCGATCTAGTGATATCCCATCAATGGTTCAAACATGTCCGAAAAAGTGCGTAGTTAAGGCATTATACTTCCTGCTTCCATTATCAAGGAACGAGGTCCCCGGTGGGGAGCCATTTCCCGGCGATTCCCCGACAATTTTGCCCCCTACTTTGTAGTCCGGGCCCCTTCCCCCCCCCCCCCCCCTTCTGTCCNCTTTGCTGTCCGAAGGGGCCCCCCTCGACGATTTTGCTCTCTGACTTTTTACTCGGGGACCCCCTCCCTCCACTCACTCTACTCCCCGACGGGGATTCGCCGACAATTGCGAACTGCCGTGAAAATCGCGAATAATTTAGTCGAAATAGCTGAATATCGCTACAGCACTTTCAATATTGTCTTGTTGTTTGTTTTGAAAAGTGAGTATACGGCGTGTGGCAGGTGATCCAAATAAATTTGTCAGATTTCCTTGATTCTTTCTTCTTCAGTGTGATTTCACAATTCCTGTTAAATGTGTCGGTTTAAGTATTTGAGCGTAAGGCGTTTTTTGTTGTAATCACTACATTAGAACAGTAGCAAATGAACTCGTCGCCTTCACACCGATCTGTCGCTGTATCATTCTCGCTCAATTAATCGGTATTCTTCAGACCGTAAATTTCATTTTATTTTCTTATCGTTATTTCCACGACACAAACCATCACATAATGTTTTTCGTAGACGAAATTTTGGATATTGTGTTCGTGGAGTGAAAATGGCGTACCTTCCGATCACTTGCAATCACCCGACAATTTTGCCCCCCCCCCCCCCCCCCAACTTTTTAGTCTGAGTCCCTCCCTCCTCCGGTCCACTTGGCTGTCCGAAGAGTCCCTCCCTCAACGATTCTGCTTCCTGACTTTTTGCTCAGGGACTCTCCGTCCCCCTCATCCACATTGCTCCTCGACGGGATCCTCCCCTTCCCCGGCCAAAATTGCTCCTCGATTAGTCTTAAGTATTTTTGGGACTTCAAAACATGTATGATTAATAAATGACTAAATATTCGAGTTCTAAAGAAGATGTTCTCTGCGAAAGCTCACTGTTGATGCAAGGAATCGCTTTACTTAACCCCGCATGCCCACAACTGCAGCACTACTAAATATTACAACTTGATACGTTGCAGTTTTGTGGCGTGACAACCTTTTGAAAATGACTACTTCAACCAGCTAACTACATGCTATATATAAGACTGTGCTCAAGGCTGCGCCATCCTTCATCTTCGTCTTGCGTGGGGTAAGCGAAAAAAGATCAAACTCTTTTCATTCAAATGATAAAATGGTAAAGTATCCTGGAACCACAAAAGAAGATTATAGCAAGCTAAGGAAGCCGAGTTTTGCTTGAATGGGAAGAAGTATGTATCGTTCGATAATATGAATTCTTATGAATGTTCAAAGAGAAAAAAATCGTTTTCATCGCCTTCTCCACATGAAGCACAACTTATTCCGTCCCACTCCTAACAATAAGCATACTCAATTTTAAAGAATTTTAATCGATTGTTGATGTGGCACATTTCACAACCATCCTCTGTATTGTTGTTATCACTACTGCATTATGATTATAGTTGTCAGTCTTTATTGGCCTTCCATTTTCTTCACAAAAACTGTCTGTAGTTAATGAATCCGTTAGACGAATCGGATATTTTCATGATATGAAAATTGTTGCAGTTTATGAAATTACACAATATTGAGCAAAAGGATTGTTTAGAGTGAATGAAATCATTCTCTGTTCAATACCATAAAAAAAAGTTTTTCACATTACGGCCAAACATTTGGGAAGATTTCGCAAGGAAACGAGGTTAAACGTTCTGATGTTAACTGAAGTAATTGTGAAAATTCTGGAATTCGGTTTTTCCGAAAACAAAATTGGAAAACTTTCGGTCGGAATAAGACTGAATTTATTTTCACAATGCCGAAACCTGGTTAAATTGAACAAGTTCCAAACTCCTCATTCGGAATTCAAACTGAAAATTTTAAGAGAGTACTAAATTTTTACAACTCGGAAACTGTCAAACCATGATATTAGTTGGTCGTCGTCACTTCACTTTACAATACGTATCATCAACCACTTATCCAAAAGAAAATGCGCATGAGAGAGGGAATCAAACGGGAAAAGAAAATGGCGCTGATGAACAGTAATATTTAGTATTCGTCGATGAGCATCTGAGAGGATCCGTCGGGGATTAAGGTCGCCGAAAGGAACCCTAACAAAAAAGCGAGGGGGAGGGGAAGAATGGCCGGAGGTGGTCCTCCCGAGGAGGAAATCATCCGAGGAAATGGGGAGAATCCGATAAAAGAGTCAGGAAGCAAAACTGTCGAAAGCAGGGGGGAAGGGGTGTTAGGGAGCAATTTAACGCAATTTTAAAAGAAATTTCTCTCCTCGATGAAATTTTCACCAACCCATCTGACAACTAGACCAAAAAATGAACTTACTGGCAGTTCAGAATTAGAAAAAGAGGTCATGATTGGTCGAAAATGAAACGGTGAGACTACATGGCAGTACTGAGAATCGAAATGGATGAGAAGAATAGTTAAATGTGATAATAATGATAACTGGAATGTTCTCAACGTCTTCGGTGTAAAATCAGCATGATAGCTGAGTAAGTGAGTAGATGAAGAGCAAATGAAAACCACATATTATGTCAAATAATATTAAAAAATCATAACATGCCCACACACAGCAGTGAAGATCAGAATGCAAATGCAATATGAAATGTTACTATACAACTTCATGATAACTGAATACTTCGTGAAAAAAAACAGAACTGAATCACTCAAATCAATCAGTCACTATTCCATATGGTACATCTTTCAGGATTGGTGACAAGAATATGATGCACTTCGAGGGAAATAGCAGGAAGTAAAAGTAGATGACTAATGAATATCAAAAGTGGGTATATTTCGTCACAAATGAATATGATGGCAGCAGTAATAAAATGAGATTGGAATTAGATCGGTTTAAGGTAGATCCAAAAGATCACATGCACTAAAAATTTTTTGTACACGATCGTAAACCATCGTAGACGCATCAACCATTCTATCAATCGCGTCGTTAATCCTCTCTTCAGGTGGCGTTTGTTGACCTGTACCGGCAATCTTCCGAATAAAAATACATCTTGATGGAAGTGTATATGATGCTAATGAAACACCTTGTCGTATGAACCACCCATGGTACTGTGACAACGTTCGTTCATAACTTCGACGACATAACCACGATAGTTGCGCGTCTTCTGAGGCATCTCTCAACGAAATCAGAAAATCATTTACAAACTGCAATGCGCGATGCAGTCGAAGTAGAGTTCTTGATCCCTGAACAGATCAGATGGCATGAAACATTTTGACGTAAAACAAAAACATAGCTATTAATTATCGATGAGCATCTTTCTATCATTCTATTACGTTTCACGAAAAGTTCACGTTACTTACTCTAGCACATCAATTCGCACCGATACAATACGAGTTCAAAACTTGAAATGGAATGAATTAATGAACGAATAAAAAACGGACATTTGCTTTCGGCGTTCCATCACGACATTCCCAAGAAATCATCGAATGTACTGTTGCATAATGCTCGCGATCAGATGAGTATAAACTTGATAAGATTGATTCTTTTTCCTCGACATCACTTCTTACAAAAGTGAATACGGTGCCTAACAAAGCAAAGAGCCTGAAATTATCGTCTAACTCTATAATGCCGCGATATCAACGTCTGCATTTCGCTATAGAACCATTCCGGAGTAATGGATAGTTACTGGATGAAATTATATTCGTGACAACTACATCCTCATTTCTCAGTCATAAACCTCAACCAGGATTAGCACGCATGATGAGTACTGTTACTGTTTAAGGCAAAAATATCACAGTCGACGTAAATGTAACATATGATATGTACTGGTCTAGGCCAGAAGATACTTTCTATTTGATGAATTAATGGACAAGGCTCATCAGCAAAACTTGGGATCTGCGAATTGTGATGATTCACACATGAAATTCTTTTTTTGTAAAATTGAATGAAAAACTTGCGAGAAAAACGAAATATTTTTACGTTAGGGGTATTTAGATGAGGAACGGTTGATAAGCAATTCGAAACACATAAAAGGAATGATTAATATCCGCTTTTCAAGAAATGTTTTACAAGGAAGCCAACAACCGAACCTAGTCCTCAGCTCCTTCACTAGCGACTCATTTGCTATCCAACGAACAAATGTTAATATATTCATTACCTAAATGACTGCTCGATTTTCAAAGGAGATGTAAAGATGAATATTTCAATGATGCCACTCTATAACATCGTCACCTACCTTCATAAATTTTTCATGAAGTAATGAGGACTGAAACAAAGTCTATGAGTCAGTACGACTTAACTGATACGAATGATGTCTAATAAAATTTATGAAATCATCTAACTTATTTAATTCATTATAAGCAGCAACATAGGATGATAAATCTATGTCGTCATCACCATTCAGTGACTGTTGAAAAAGATCACTGACAACATCAATATCGAATACTTCTGCATTGTTGTTCGTAATCATTTCACAGCGACTCGTTCATAAATTCGAACTGAACAAATAAACTGATTATTTATTAGCGCAGTTGTCTTACAACAAAATGGCTCACAATATCTTCAATACAACGTAATAAGTGAAAAACTCCCGTTAGGCTAAGTTATGCGTGTCAGTTGGCGTTGTTACACAAAAGCTGGTCCCAGTACGCTGGCCGGATGTACGTGAAACCGACGTACGGAACGAGTGCTATGTTCTTGTATGAAGCATGAAGGGAGTGATTTTAAAAATCCGGAGACCTTTATTTATGCTGTTTCTAAATCTGTTAGTGGATGCGTTTGTGAGTTGCCAGTGATGGTGATGGAAAACGGACGAAAAATTGATTTGATCGGAATCCATTCTCGCAATTGCGAAATCCGGTTGAACCGAAAAGGAACTCCAAATTCTTCCACTAGAACCCGACGTAATCCATTTTCGCAACCCCGAACTTGGGTAGTTACCGAAAAACCAAAAGTTGTGAAAATCGTAAAATATGTCGGGATTCCACTCGATTTTGATACCATGGTTAGCGCGCGACCCAGTTTCATAGAGCCATGAATGGGTTGCATGCAGAACACGGGGAATTAACACCGTAGAGTTCGTCAAAGCGAGATGCAGCGAAGTTTCGTGTCTCTCATTTGTAAATAAACCACAGCTGCAAATAGTAAAAATAACCTGGATGCATTTTCCGTCTGTAGAAAATCAAAATGAGTTAATTTTGCATTTTAAGTTGATAAAATGAAAACTGCATTTCGTTCGTTCACATTCGCAGTTGAATGTGCGGTGTGCTTAGAGCAAGGCTAGAAATGTTCGCAACAGACCACAAACTATATGTTCAAAGCAGTATAAATGCATACAACGAAGTAATTGCATACAACGAAGTAAGATAAAATGGATGAGCTGATGATAAAATGAGTTGATGATGCAGTTTTTTAATGGGGTCAGACTAATGACTATAAGTTCATTTTGACCGGATCTAAACATATGTTGTGCGCAGTGGTTCTAGATACTGAGCAGTATGGCAAAATAATTCCACGAGGCCGGATGATTAATTATGAATTCACGTTAATAGAATGTATTTTTAGTGGTGTGCAGAGTAACTGTGATTGTTGATTAGATTGGCAAAATCATTTGACGGAGCTGGGCAGTTAAGAAGTAGTTCATTTCAATGGAATCAACAATCACAGTTACTCTGCACACTACTACGAACACATTCTACTGACATGAACTGGTTATGACCTGCCCAGCCCCGTAAAATGATTTTACCATCCCATTCAATATCTAGAATTACTTCGCATAAGATGTGTTTAGATCCGGTTGAAATGAACTTATTGTCATTTGTCTGACCTTCTATGATCTGCACGATTGGATTGTTCTCTCATCAGCTCATTCATTACATCTTATGCAATACATAAAACATCTTATACTTTATCAACAACGTAGGATGATTAATGTGGTATTGAGTAGAAGAAAGCGTACTAATAATTAAAAACCATTTTCACAATGGAATACACAAAGAACTCATGACAGTGATGAGCTTTTGAATATGTAAATTTTATCTCAATGCAGAAAATTTATCTAATCGCCAATTTTATCTCCGTATCACTTGTACCTGTCCTGTATTGTTGGTGCTTTGTTTTGTTGAGTTGCTGAATTTGTTGAGCTTTGATGAATGATTTGTTGAATAAACTGTTTTCTGATCAATTATGAACACATTGGCTCAAAAAGACTGTATTAAACAAGTCACATTTTTATATTCCCAAAGTTGCCTTTCAATCCCGAGGTCGTATCGAGATTGAAAAACGATCCCGGGATTGAGAAAATGGTCAGGAGTTTGCAAATCCTAGTTGCGAATTCACAGCTTGGAGACGATCGTTAAGAACATTTCTTGCTTCATGAAATATTCATGAAATTTAGTGACAGTTGCGCACATAAGGAAAGATCACGGTATGACGAAAATCTTGCTGAGAAAATCAAGTATACACGTTTTGAAGCGCATGAAAATTTGTATCAGAAACCGATTTCAGTTTAAAAATAGTGGGAAACTTTTTTCAGAGATCACCACGTTGAACTGAAAGCATGGAAACTGTTTATACAGGATTTTCTGGAAATCTACAGATTTACGGGATTTTATACAGGATTCTTCGGAAAAATTTTTGAAAGAAAGATCTCCCGGAAATTTTGTTTCCGTTAGTTTCGAGAATAAGATTTTTGGATATGAGTGTAGTGGTCTATTGAAGAGTAATTTATGTTTGCACAGAAACTGATGATGATGACGATCAAAACTTATTGGTGGTAATAATCATGATAAAAAAGAACGAAGTGATCGATTTTCGGAACGATGCGAATTTGATTGGGAGAGAGGAATCACCGTCATATTCGCACCGAACACCAACATGTGCAGATCAGCTTGAGTGTGCATAGCTCAAGATAGTGCTTCCAATGGCTCGAATCCTTCCATTCAAATCCTTCAATCGCATCCGTGCTTTCTCTCTGCATCGCAAGCACATTCCTTTATGTGTGTCTGTTGCGTGCTCTCTTCTGCCTCGAGAGGTGTGAAAACCGTTGACGCACATCGCGCTCTCTCTGTCTTCATGCTGCTTTGGTACACGTCCATTATCTGGTTCAGTCCACACCTCGTACAGAGTTACCCAACTACAGCGCACTCAAATGTTATCGTTCACTTCATTGTCGTTGCACCGATAGTGATGGTGATGTGATATATTTCCTATGTGATGTGGTACTTATATCCAAAGCTTACATAAGTTTATATCCATTCATAAAGAAGACATTTAGGATCACAATATTGCCGGATTTAACAACATCAGAACTTATGCGCGTGTCACTCTTATAAGTTACTATTTGATGATTAGCATATGTCGCAAAATGTTTACGTAATTGTGATGTAGCAACAAAAGTTTTATTTTTTCTTTAAAAGTTCATTGTTAATACAGTTGGTAAACACAATTCAAAACTGTTCGCATTGCAAAACACAATACAACATAATTCGATATAAATGTAAAGATGATCATAAGCACAAATCGCAATTTAGTTCTATTGAAGTAGGCTATTGTTTGAGCTCATTTTCACGCGACATATAAGGTGTGGAGCAGAAGGCGATTAGGTATTCTCTAAATCACTCATTTGAACTTTTTTAGCAGAAAAATTTACCCCTATAAATCATCTGAACTGTTTGAGCAGAATAAAAGAGAGAACAACAACTTATGATGGTGAGTCTATCTTATTGTGCATGTTTACTTCCTGATTGGATAAACCAGAGCGATTTCTAGCTTAAACACTCACTATACACCAGTGGCTCTCAGGCTCTTCTCTCTATTTGGTACATCCCATCCAAAAAATACACTACAATAAGTTCCTCATCTAATAATCCATTACTTTTCGATGGCAACTCTGACGAAACTGATTTACTGATCAAAAAGTTCATTGATGTGGACTTGTCGACTCTGTCTAATAAATGAATTCGTTTCATCAAATAAACACATTAAATCCATCGTTGGACAACTGTGAAACAATTATAAGAAAAAATCAATCAACAATAAGTCGCCAACCTCCTCATCTCAAATTCTCGGCTCCCTTCAGTGGGAACACCCTCTTCTNCTCCCCCCCCCCCCCCCCCCCCCCACCCTTCGCCCTGCCTACGAAAACCACTGATATACACAAAATGAGACATATTAAAACTGCACAGCTATAGGTTACAGAAACGAAGAAAAGAGGTTCATTTTAATGAAGAAACAAGGACAAACCACAGCAACTGTTACAAAACTCAGAGATCATAACAGACACGACAGCAAGCACAATTCGCCGATAAAAACTTGCTCGTAAGCAGTAAGTTGAGAGTGGAAAACGGCGGCAAACTGTAAAAAGCACCAATGTTAAACCAGCCCACTTTCAGTCTCAACGCAACAACGTTGAAACCTCGTGCGCTTGACACAAACTGATAAAGGCAAACTGCATCCCAGTTAGGGTCTCGACGCGCTCTATGGTCATTACCACCCCACTTTTGCAACACTATCGAATCATAGTCAAATGCTTCTCTTCTCATCCTATCATAAGCTTCGAACAACATAATTTCAAAAACAAATGCGGAAAAGTAACAACAAAGATTTTAAATAATCCACCCAAAAATCTCCCCACCCACTAATACCTTTTTTAGTCAGCAGCGAATTGGCGTTTGATAAACAAAACGATTATCATCATCACTATGTCGATTTAAAGTAACGAACATTCACATAATAATTATAGGCGTACTTAGCGCATAATAAAAGGTTGTTTCATCAATAACAAAAAAGCATTAATAAGGATGACAACAATAACAATAATTTACAGGATTAATTATACAAGTAAATTTACAGGATTCGATTCGGCAGAATTTACGCTCCGTTATTCTCATACAATGTCCTGTTCAATTAATGCGCATTGATGCAGTAGAATGGAACATTCTGTTATGAGTTCCGAAGTGAAGTTTGCCAAATCGTTTCAGGATGAACAACGGAAAAACGTCAGCTGGATTACGAAATAATACAGACGCATTCACAAAACCGCTTAGAGAGACCAAACAAGTTAAAAGACATTTTAGCAAAAAACAACCATACAGAATACTTCAAATGATGCATGTATCGACCGCATTGACGATTATCGCCATCATTTCAGTGCAGTTCAATAGTGCATGTAAAGTTCATGAGAGACAATGTAAATTGAAAATAGACCGATTAAAAGCGTTATTCAGGTATGAATCTGAGAAGAGGCACTATAAAACATAATAGCAATCAGCTGTTTGCATCATCACAAAAATGACAATCAACTTTTAGAACCTTCCAAAAGATAAATTAATTCTAAAACGATCGGAGATGAATCACAATAACGAGCATT